CCTGGCAAATTCCAACACTACCGGTATATGGGTAACTGTGCACACATATTTCCGACTTTGATTCTGGAGGTGTGCCAACCCAATGTAAGAGACTGTCGGTTTAGGGGTACTGTACCCATCCTGACAGATTCCAACAATACATGCCGTTGGGGTTTGATGGGTTGAGTTCTGTTAGGGTTAAAAACATTTTTGTAGTACTTTTCAACTGTTGTTTGTTCACATTTACATTTATAATAAGTTTATGATGTGTTTAAAGAGGTTGTGGAATGCTCGAAGACATTTCTGTCATTTTTGGGGTATATGTAGCCTAAGGTGTGATGAAATAAAAACGACTATTGTTTCTGTCATGAAATGAGTACAAAGGGTACTTTTGAGAGCTATTTTTCAGGTCCTGTTTCGACCCGAACGTGCAATTTGTGTAAAAGTCGTCGTTGCGGGCAGCAAACAAAACACAGTAAATCGTGACGTAATAAACAGGACTCGTTTATGCTACTCTGCATCAGGAGTCCTGTTTACTGTGTTTTGTTTGCTGCCCGCAACGACGACTTTTACACAAATTGCACGTTCGGGTCGATACAGGCATGACAGGACTTGAAAAACAGCTCTCAAAAGTACCTTTTGTACTCATTTTATGACAGAAACAATAGTCGTTTTTATTTCATCACATCTTAGGCTACATATACCCGAAAAATGACGTAAATGTCTTCGAGCATTCCACAACCTCTTTAAACATGTAAAGTCAAGTACATGTACATTGCAGCTTTAGAAACAAATCAAATTATATGTATGCACATTGTAGCATTTTCAGTATGTTAAAATGAGTGAGAGTACGCACTAAAATATCCGTACAACAAACTCAAGCACTGGCAAATTTATCACAAGTTTATGATGTGTTTAAACAATGTACGTGTATGATCTGACATACATGTACCAGTACATGTGTAGGTACACATTATCATGATATTGGGGTACGTTTACAGGGTAACGGGAATCGAGTACCCCATTGAAAAAAACACGGGTATCCAGGTACCTGTTAAAGAAACCCTACCCTAAATTTATATCTCAGAAGTTGCTGTACAGATTGTTCATCAAGGCCAACACGATAATACTACCACACCGGTGTGTCAAAACAGCAAGAGACAAGTGTACAGCGAGCTCAATACATGGTGTAAATTGCATTTTCGCAAGCGTCATAAACGTCAATCTGCAGCCTGACATTCAAAACCTTCTTTTGTTATTGTCTGAAAAGTTACTTATTAATTTGTAAAGTTGGTTACGGGTACTCAATTTGATAATCTGGAACCGGTTCCTGACATCAGCGGTCGGGTACTCGGGTACCCGGTTCCGATGCACAGCCCCATCATGATGTATGGTAGCCTAGTGGCACAATGGTATGTGAGAAATCCAAAAGAATAATATTCACGCTTTTTGACTCCTGTTTCTCGCATGCCTAGCCTATATTTGTGGGTTCAAACACAGGTTAACCATGTCCAATGTACATCACACTTGAGCTTCTAACCGGAAGATGAACTCGTTGAATGTTTATTCTCTCAGACTTATCAGCCAGTCTGTGTGAATGTGTAACAAAAGAAGGAGCATTATATCAATATTTTGACAATTTTTTTCGAAAGCGTCTAATCTATCGGGAAGAATGAAAACACTCTGGCACAGGATGTGTGGTTTCTATCCAGTGTTTTAAAAGTCAACATTGCTGTTTTGTTGGCCATGAAATAAGAATTCCTGTATGTTTGTATTAAAATGTTTTTGATGTTGTGGGGGAAAACTGAAGAAGGCTTGGCCACACAATCAACAATAAATTCTTGACAAGCATTAGGTCTTGCCCAACTTCATGGAGCGCTAAGCACACTGATGATTGCCCAAACTGGGAAGTCACAAAAAAAGAGGAAATTCAAATCTTTCCAAGACTTTGTACAGTGTTTTTCTATTTTCAATGGCACACATTGGAAGTGAAAAAAGAGGAAATCAGCTGATCCGAGGAAAAGTTGCATGCCTGATTATTTACTTAGACAGACTAAAAGTGATATTAAATTTATTCTAATACAAAACTTTTGGGGGGGGGGGGGGAGGGGACAGATAGGCCTATAGTTTTCAATCAACCAAAAAGGTCAAGTGTTTTATTTAAAAAAAAGTGTAGCATCAGTTAGCTGAAGTTTGCCAAATATTGCAAAAACTTGGTAATTGAACAGACACTATCATTTAGGCAATGGAGTCATCTTGTGATCGTCTTTACATGTAGGTTTAAAACTTAAATTGACAAATGTGGATCTGAGGGGAAAAAAGTTTCTTTTCGGCCAAAAACAAAAGTCTCTGGTTTCTTTGCTTGTAAGTTGATGTCTCAAAACCAGAGGGGGCAAAACATATTTTTCCCAAAACATTCTTGTATTTCTCAACATATTCTCCATTTATCAGTTTTGGAGGGGGGGGGGCAGGGACATTTTGCCCCCCCCCCCCATTAAATTTACACCACTATGATTTCTTTTTCTGTTGTTTTTTTCTTCCTTTTTTTGTTTTGCTTTTCCGGGGGGGGGGCAAGCATCCCCCTTGCCCCCCTCCCCCTCGCGACGCCCATGCTATAGTATAAGCTTTATGTCGCCTCTCTGGGCTCCCGTATGTTTTGAACTAAATTTAATAGTCGGGCACCATTTGCAGACGGTGTTGTGATTTTATAATTGTGCGTTTAGAAGCCAGATGGAGGGAGCGATGGTCATGTATCTGGGAACCTGTAAACGCTTTTGAACCCTCCTATGGAAACATGCATTGTCAGCCTGGTTATTACTTGGGTCAAAATTGGTCAAGACCCCCATAGGTTTGTACACAGTACGCCAGGAGGTGAGATACAAACATTTTTAACATTGGTGACCTCTTAAATAGTAGGAGGCTTAAACATATCCTACTGTTTTAAGCCACATTTAAAAAAACCAAATTGAGAGTCAGGCTTGGAACGCACTCCAATCATAAAATAGTCTGGCGCCATCCCATTCAACAGTTTACAATTTATAAAACAGATTCAGGGAACACGATCGAAAATGGCTTCCCCGCGAATAAGGTCTATTCACGTTTTGTCAGCAATTTACGCTGTTGCAAACTGGGGCCAATTTCACGGCGCTGCTAAGCACAAACATTTGCTTAGCACAAAAACAGCCTGACTTATAAAAGCAGGTTACCAGCCAAAACTCCATGTATTGTATATTGCTCGTGATTAGTATTCAGCTGATGTTTGCTTAGCATGAAAATCACATGAAGTTTTGGCTGATAAACTGCTTTTATAAGGCCAAAAAAAAAAAGTCTCCGGTTTCTGGTATGCGCGCGCGTCGCCGTAGCCATGCGCGTCGGCAAAATGAAAAAGTTTTTTTTTCAATACAAGATGATGTTTCAAAACCGCCAAACTCACTGGTTTGACTGGAATTCTGCTGCTGCACAATTTTAACGTGTTTTTTAGATGGGGTTATGATCGAGAATAAGATTTATGTGGTCTCTCTGGACTCCCATATATTTGCACTAAGTTTAGTCGGGCACCATTTGCAGTCATCAGCCGACATTTGAAGCCCCCCCCCCCCAAAAAAAACAGGTAAAAAAAAAAAAAAAGCCGCGTCGCCGCACCACTTTTGGGGCAAGCTCCATACCAGAAACCGGAGACTTTTTTTTTTTTGGTCTAAGCCAGACTTTTTTTGTGCTAAGCAACTTTTTGTGCTTAGCATAACCGTGAAATTGGGTCCTGGAATGTACCGGTACTGCACTGCACTGCAGGCTGTCATACGAACCACGACAGTAATGTGCGCAAATGTATTTATGCAGCACCTCACTGTATGCTGAATTTAGCTTATCACTTCGAATATCACTGCACACTTGAACTGACAACTTTCAGCTGCAGTATAATTCATCCCACTGCGACACTTATTCAGCTCTGAGTGTATGAACGGGAAAACGCAGCTGTGCTGAATATACATGTATGAAATCCAGAAATAGCACACGTTCGAAATAAGTGGGGCTTGCCCATTATGATGAGCTCTCACCAAAGTGCAATGATGCTGAAATGAATGTGAAACAAATGAAATGCGGGGATACGTAGGGGTCTGTGCTGCCTGAAAGCCTCAGCGGAGGAAATGGAGCAAATTGGAAAACAACTTGTGCTGGAATGTAACATGAAGAGCAGCAATATAATTAAGGTGCAGAGTAAAAAACAGCCACCTTTGCCATTCTACGTAGAAACAGGTACATTGTACAAGTGTATGTACATGTACCGTACATGTGTACGGAAGTACATTATCGATACAAAAGTTTATTTACATGTATGAAATGCGCACATGTAGTTTTAAACAATGACAATAACAACTCCTACAGAATCTTGTTTATAGGGTTTACAACTCATACAGCTCATGACTTTACAGCTCATACATATTTTTTTTTTTTACATAATGGTAGGCTCCCTTTTTTCCATTGGTTTATTGCATACATGTAGTATTTGATTTTGGAGAATTCAGGTAGATTCTAAGCCAAAAAAAAAAAAAATTATCAACGACCAAAATCCTACAAAATCCCTCAGTTTTACAGGGTTTTGGTGGATTCAGGACTGTCACTGTTTCTTTACATGGAGTTTTTTCATTTGCATTTTTGTTAAGTACATGCACATGTACGATAACAAGAGTGTTCGATTGGTGTACTGCTCAGTGGTGGATTTTGGAAGATTCAGGACGATTCTAAGCAACAAAAAATTGCCAACGAAATAAATTCTACAAAATCTATCACATGGTTTGCAGTATTTGTATGCAGATTGTACAGATCAGCCACTACCTCTTTACATGGGGTTTAATATCCAAATTACCCAAAGTTATAACAACTGTCAATTGTTTCATTGCACAGTTTAGAGGATTCAAAATGTTTTTGAGCTAAAAGAATTAATTACTTAAAAAATCTTACAAACTCCATCAACTGATTTAGCAGTATTTGCATGGGTTCAGAAAGAAACACGAAGCCATTTTTTTTCTCTCTGTCTCAGTAATGCTTTATAATGTAGAATTTCATTTAGTTTTCTGCAAAGTTGGATTTTTTAAGATTCAGGCTTCCTACAGATTCCTATTGATTTGGGGGAAGTATTAATTTTGGAACTTACCCGCAAACGGATCTTCGTCGTCTCGTCTCAGTAACTCGGTGTCCCCACTACTGCTGGTATCCGTGACACTCAGATACTCATCGTTTGCCTGGTAACCCTCCGAGTCCACACTAGACTGGGTGAGCGAATGGCTTCCGTTCACCGGTCCCCCGCTAATGGAGTCTCTTTGTTGCGGATCCACAGGTCCCGGTGGGTGATGATCGTCGGTGGGTTGAAATTGAGACGTGGGCGGGAATCCGAAACGGGAGGGCTTTTCCGGCCGGCTCCGTTGCCTGGCTTCGCTGTGATCCCGCGAGTTGGAGCCGGAGTAAGTGGTCCCTGCGCTGTGGACGACGGAGCTCTCGGGGGTAAAATATTGCCGCGTCTCGGGGAAACGATTCGTCTGTTCTGAACGCTCCTGCGGGTCTGCGATCCTAACAGGCTGGAAGGCTGATCTGTTCTCCGCTGATGATCCGCTCTGCGACGACATCCATGCTTGATTTGACGGCTCTTTCGCCCCAAGGAAGTTACTGTGCGGAAAGGACTGCGTATAATAATAATAATAATAATAACATTAAGTGAGACACCACAGTGCGAGAGTGCCGTCAGATAAATTGAGTGCGATTGGCTCGGATAATGCAGCGAACGTGTAAGAGGGGGGTCTGGGGGAAATTGGGACGGTTGGGTGGCTGTGTTGGGGGGGGGGGGGGGCTGTGTTTAAAATTGGATTTGGCTGTTGCGGGGACAGCTGGCTGGCCAGGGCTCCAAGGCGTGTTTGTCCTAATCTGTTAAGTGGTTTTGGAAATTGCTTCGAGGGCCGCTGAACTGAATTAGGAAAAGAAAGATAGCGTAGAGCACCGATGGTTTGTCAGATGTGCTTTGTGTTGTGGCTTATTAGAATCAATCAATATATTTCCCCAATTTTCTTTTGAAAAGGTTAGTACAAAAACCATTCTTTCTGAAACAGAAAAAAGGGATAAAATGTAGCCATAACATGCTACCATAAACGGCATTCGTGGCGGTGTTATGAACTGAATTAGAAAAAGAGAAAAGATAGCGTAGAGCACCGATGGTTTGTCAGATGTGCTTTGTGTTGTGGTTTTGTAGGATGAATCAATATATTTTCCTTTGTTTGTTTTGGAAATGTTAGTACAAAACCATTCTTTCTGAATTAGAAAAAAGGGGATAAAATTTAGCCATAACATGCTATGGTAGACTGCATTCATGGCAGTGTTATTTTTGTACGTAACTATACTCTTTATGCATGAATGTACTAATAGTATCCGGGGGGTAAAATGAATGACTATTGCAGACAAGCAAAATAAAGCATTACAATTTATGTGACTGAGTTTTTTATTCATTTTGGTAAAACCTCGGAGGCAACATTTATTAGAACTCAATTCAAGGACAGCGTACATACATTTTTGCATGTTTAATAGTGTCATTTTGTTGACAGTTTTTACTTGTATGGAAATTGAATAATAGTCTTAAAGATACATTTCACGTGACCTGCAAACTAATAATAATAATAACAGAGTCTTATAGAGCGCCAACATCCGCTTGAAAGTCATGGTGCTTGATCAAAACAACTACATGTAGCTGCTTCAACAGACCAGATGCATTGAACAATGTCCAGTGTCACAACAGTCTACAGTCTACACATAATTAGAGGAAGATTTTTCCCCCCATAATTTTCTCTTAAAATGAAGAGGATACGACCAAACGCTTCTGGCTTATCAGAGGTTATTAATGAGAGGGTTAACCCTCCGATAAGCCAGAAGGATTGAGACAAACTCCCAGATAGATCAAGTGGTGAATTTAATGTAAAATACAAAGGAAAACAATGTAATAAGACCTTCTCAAAATGTGTACAAAACTTGGCAAAAACACAAATATGTGTGAGAAAACAGTAACCCTCCTGCTATTTAAACAGCACAGACAAGTCAAGATGTTCATCCACTTCCCCTGCTATACTTTTAACACAGGCTAGTCACCAGCAGTCAGACCATACCGGTATGTCCAGCAAGCACTGTGACTAGTCAAACTCAGTCAACAGACCATGAACAGACAAAGCAGGCAAGTTGTGGGCACAGCTGGCTTATCAATTACCCACAGTCAAAGCAAAGCTGTATCCAGTTACATAAACAGCCACGGCCAGTCACTCTTGCTTTATGTTGATTGGGAGCTCTTAACTGTTGAAAACAGTCACTTGATTGATTTTGACTGAAAGGACGACTTAACACAGAATGTATGTTTGCATAGCAGGGTTAATGTTGCATTCACCGTGCTCTTCAACAAATTCCATTTTTCCCCCAATTAATAATTTTTAACTTGTACAGGTATGTTTCATTCCAACCAAACAACCTCCTATTTTCCTTTTTTGGACATCTGGAATCCTATCAAAAAAAAAAGGTTACTGTTTTAGGCACAAACAGATCCGCCATGGTAACAGACTGGCTCCTGCCGTACATTATCGATACTGATTGCGGGGTGGGAACCAGCCTACCCCACGAAAACAAAATTATTGTCTGACAAAGTAAAGCAATAACTCAGTAAACTAAGCATGGGCTGATTTTTCGGTTGATTTCTCATTAAAAAGTGAATAACGTATGTATTGCTAGAAAAATGGGCAATTTAGAAAAGGAATTATTAAAGACACTTCATAAATACCTGAGTCAGTTTACCCATTCCTATTAGTCAAGAGCACGTCATGCGTGGTTTTAACCGCCGGTAAAATGCCGCCGCGCACATGCCAATTTGCATATAAGGAGATTTTTAGCGCGACACACACGAGGCACATATCATAGATATGGCAAGCGGAGTGTTGGAATTGTCGGAAATTTGTGAATTTTTTACTTGTTTGTCTTTTTGAACATATACCTTTAAAAACCGCTGGGGGCCTGGTCACAGATAATGGCCCTTGACTTCGGCTCAGGCAAATACCAGGCCCCTAGCTGGTTTTAAACGTACTTGTGTAAAACCGGCCATGCACATATGTATTCCCTTATTATTGTAAAATGGAGAAATCAGTTTACAACTGTTAAACAGAAATACTAATTTAATGAAAATACTGTGCACCCAACAGTTTGAAGGAGTCCATTTTAACACATATTCGAGGGTTCCATTACTGCAAGATAGGACAGCTGAAAATCTGATAGAATGAATGAAACAATTCCCAACCTACATTTAGCAATTATTTCAATCAAGTCAGTCTGAAACAGTCCAGTGTTAATGATTTCCTATGACTACAGAGGGCAGTATTGCAGTGGTCTAAGGGTGCAGACCAGTAAATTAGTCTAGGCGATATTTAAAAAAAAGGGCTCATTTAGGGTAAGAAGAGGCATTTCTTAGTAGAAGTTGGTAACATAGCTATTTTACCTAATTCGGGGTGCTGAATCCAAAAATGATGGTTACCAAGCTGGATTTTTAGTGGAAGTATGCCTAATTTGCATAAATATTTAATACCTGTCATGTAATATATTTTTTTTCCAATACTGGGGTATATTTTTTTGTAATTCTATTTTTTGAAAAGTTTATTTTGGTGATTATACATGTACAAGTTTACACTTCCTTACTTCAATAACATAATTATGAGGACATAGAAACAATCCAAAATGGCTACTATTATACACTCAGGTTACGCACATTTACTTTTTACTTTACATTTACTTATCCCCTCCCACCCAGCATGGTACTTTCAAGTGCAGTTCCAGATGTGTTGTCTGCCAGATTCATATCCAGGAGTCTGACTCCTTTTCTGGCCACTCTTCTGTCACTACCCACAGAACCATTGGTAACATCACTTGTAACACCCCTAATGTCATATATCTCATTTCTTGCAGGGTCTGTGGAGTGCAGTATGTAGGTGAGACTAAGAATACGCTCAAGAAGCGTTTCTATGCCCACCGGTCAACGGTCAACACCAAGAAACTAGACACCCCTGTTGGTCATCACTTCAACCTGCCTAACCACTCCATTTCTGATATGATTTTGCAGGGCATTGAATCTCTTGGCCATCGCAAGGACTCAGTCCGCCTCAGCAGAGAGAAAGTGTGGATGAATCGTCTTCGAACTATTCAACCACATGGTCTCAACATCCAACTTGGAAATGATTAATCTTTTTCTTCCTCCATTGTCTTCTGTTACAGATAATCCACCTGGTCTTCATTGTTTGTGTTTACCCATCTTCCCCCATCTTTCATCCCTTTCCACCTCAATACTGTTCCCCCCCCCCCCCCCCGCATCATCCCCCTTCACTTTCACTCTTTTGTCCGTTCCCACTCCCTGTGACCTTTGATCCTTCCCTTTCTGGTCCCTCCCCTGTTTACACCAGACCCCTTGTGGTTTGCCATCTCCCTTTGTTTCTTTGTTCTCTCATCCACCCTCCCCTGCATCTTTCCACACCTTTCGCACCTAATCCTCCTTTTGTGTTTCTTCTTTCATCCCTGCATGTTTGTGTGCACCCCCATGTTAATGTATGTAACTCTGTCATTTCTGTTTTAGCCTCTGAAGAAGAACTTGCTAAGTTCGCAACGTCAGGCCACATTAATTTTTAGATTTACATTTACTTTTCCTCAGATATCATCCAGTAGTCTCGCCAAACGTCAGTATTGATGAGCTTCAAATTCACAAAGTTACCTACTAGCACAGTTACCCTAACAAAAATAAATGGGACATTATGTCAGAAATGATAACATCTTGATATTTAGGCCAAAAAGGAAAACAGGGGGGGAAAATGAGGTGTCCGTAAATTGGGGGACTTGAACAACTTCAACGTGGGGGACTTCAACAACTTCAAGGAAATCCCCCAAAATAAAAGATAATTGTTGCTTACAATAATTATGTCAATGTCAAAACGTTTTCTTACCAATAACTTTTGGGAATTTCCTGGAAACTTGTACAAGTCTCCCACGTTAGGCAACCCTTCAACTAATTTTTAGCCCAATTTACGGACGTGTACCCCGTTTTCCCCCCGTTTTATATCACAACGTTATCTTTGTTCACGTGATTTTCCCATAAGGTTTTTAATAGGGTAACTGTACCAGTAAGCAACATTGTGAATTTGAAGTTCATCAATACTGAGGTTTGGCAAGACTACACTTCATGATATCTGGAGACAAGGTAAATGCGCGCAACTTTAGGGTATAATATTAGCCACTTTGGATCGTTAATATGTCCTCATAATTTTTCAGTCACTTATATGCTTTAGAAAATGCTATTGAGGTCAGGAAGTGTAAGTATAATCACCAAAATAAACTTTCCAAAAAATAAAATAATAAACAAATATACATGTATTATACGACAGGTATTAACCCCAACCCTCAAGGGTTCATTTGAATCATGCAGAATCTTGCTGAATTTAACACGGTTAGGGTTATAGATTTATGCAAATTAGGCATATTTCAACTAAAAATCCAGCTTGGTAACCATCATTTTCGGATTCAGCACCCCAAAATTAGGTAAAATAGCTATGTTACCAACTTCTACTCGAAAATGCCTCTTCATGTAACAATTTTTAAAATATCGCCTATGGGCCCAAAATTGCCTACTCGGGCCAAATCAAAATTTGTATGCCCTCAATTTTGTTGCTATTAGAGCATATTCTGGGCCTCGAACTTGAAAGTTTGTAAAAAGGATGGGCGGAAGCCGTGCACAGGACTGCGAGCTCATGAAACTCTGTGAAACTTGGATGAAATTGAGGTCCTAAAATTGCTCCATTTTGAAATGGAGCACAGGCATCATTTTTCAAAAGGGCGATGGGCTTCAGGCCTGCTTTTAGAGGTGATCATCTTTGGATGGGATTTTCTCCCAAAAGTCATGGGATTACCACCTGAAAATTGAACCCAAAATGAAAGATGATGAAATAAGCTTTAATTCGATGGGTGTGTCAAACACCTTGGAGAGTTGTGAGTATTTAAAAATTTTTGGAAGTGCGCGTAATTATCACCGAGGTCTATGGGAATCGATTTACAGGTCTGCACCTCTAAGACATTCAGTCATACGTATCCAGGACCCAATTTTGTGTGTTTGGTTTAACCAGAATTATACACTCGTGATTGTTATTATGTGCTTACAGCACCAGTGATTACAGCACCTTGTGTTGTTAATGCTCAGTCTTGCACAAATCTAGGCCCAGATGATACTTGAAATCCTCCGCACTGCTCCAGGATGTCACTGGCTCTGCCTCAACATATTGACAGCGATTGCTGGAGGATTTTGCAGGATTGAGGCAGTGGTCACCCCTCCAAGGACCACAGTCAAGAAATAACGGATGATTGAGGCTATATGGAAGCAATTTTTACATGGAGGCAGTCGGAGGATTAAGCAGGATTGAGGTTGCATCCTAGCAAAAATGCGTAGGGAGTAAGGGTTAAGTAAAAGAAGAAATAAAGGAGGTCCATACCTGTGGGGACAGTTTGGCCTGAATGCCCATCATGGCGGTGTGGGGGGAGGGCGGGGGATGGTCCGGGGTGGGTGGCTGCGAGTAGTAACTGCCCGGGGAAGACGGCATGTCCGAGTCCTCGGTGCCTGAACTCCGTGACTCTGAGTAGCATGAGTTGCTGGCCGACAACGGCAGGTCACCGTTGTTGAGGCTGGTGATGGCCACAGGGAGGGTAGGGGTGACGCTCCGGGGGGAGGTGCCTCGGTGTTTAGAACGGCGGGGTGGGGGGATGGGCTCACTCCCCTCTGCAAAAAAAAATAAAAAATTGGGTATGGTATCAAAGAACATTATGGGTTGCCAAATGGACAAAATGAATTTTTAAAAATTAAAAAAATAAAAGCAAAATCATAGAAAGTTAAACAAACAATTTATGACAAAAGCAAAAATCAATAAAGGAACGCACACTACTCATTGGTTGGACTACTCTCATAGACTATGGGCTCTGTGCGCCAACAAAAGAGGGCGCTTTTTACCACTTTTGAGAGCCCCTTGGACAGGACACTGCGTGTGCGTACTGCACTGGTTCGTGCGTAAAGTACGCACGACTTATTTATCCTGAATGTGCACAAAGCTAAGCCATAGCCTCTTCGCGTGTGAATAATACGTTCAAATTTAACTTGCGATGGTCTCGCAGACTAATCCCCACACCGACAACTTTGGATCATTCGAAATACCGTACGCGGTGGATGGACCGGGAACCAGTCTAGGTCTCCCCCAACTCTCTTTTTCTGGCTGTTGAAGGGGTACTTGTGCACGGAGCCCATATACACTGCGTTCGATTACTTCCCTCGTGCTTAGCTTACCAGTACTTTCGTCTTGGGTATAGATGCACATGCGCAATCTGTGGCAATAAACGAACAATGTCGGGCTAATTGAGGTCCGGCCATATTAACCGGAGTACCGGACTGAGTCAAGAGGTCATGTGGCAATTAATTCCCCTTTGCAAATGGATTCAAGCCGTCGAATTCAGCGAGCCATGGTGGCCACTGTGCGTGCTCTTCCAAAGTGAACAAGAAATGCCGGGTATGTTTTAAATTAACTTAACTGTCCTGTGAAGTGAAGCTGAGACTCTTTTGAATCCACCACGGCTGCAGCGTTAGACCAAGGATGAGATTGTCAATTTAAAGTCAGGGAACCAGACTAGCTGGCTTGTACCCGTTCATAGGTGTGTAATCGATTGCAAACAACATGCGGACTAACTAAATACAGTAAATTTGGGGCAGTATTTGCAAAAAAAAGGCCAGTTTTTTCCAACGCTGGTCGGCCGACCAGAGTTTGAAATTGATACAAAAATACTGCTTTTTAAAAAAATTAACCGCCCACCAGGTGCCATGATTTGACAAGATGCTTTAGACTGTCAGGCATGCAACTGGGAAATCACAAAAAAAGAGGAAATTCAAATTTTTCCCAGACTTTGTACAGTGTTTTTCTATTTTCAATGGCACACATGGGAAGTAAAAAAAGAGGAAATCAGCTGATCCGAGGAAAAGTTGCATGCCTGGACTGTCAGTCCAGTAAGGTACTTCATAATAATTGTTTTTTTGCTGTTTGCAAATGTTGTATATTTCCTTTGAGTCTGAAAATTTGTCGAAAAGTCTGAAAGTTATATTGCTTACTTCACTGATGTCTTTCTCTCTGATCCAAACAGTCTGATTTCAGACTAAAGTCTGAAAAAATCTCATAACTGGTTAGACTGAGCCGATATGTTTTCGTATTGTACTGTGGGATACTTACCCAAGTAACCGGCTCAGATGGTTGGTTACTTGGGCCAGGCTCGAGTCAACACGAGAAGTCATGTGAGAGTTCAATCAAATGCAGAACTTGCGCTTGCACGAATAAGTGCGAGGGAAGTAATCGAAAGCGGGGATGGAAACAAGACTCCAGTGGCAAGGGCGGATCCAGAACACAATTTTGGGGGGGGCCAAAAAAAATTTTGGTCCCCAAAAAAGTGGGTCTAAAAATTTTGGATTCTAGATGCTCTGTGGTGCGATCTGAGGCAATTTCTGACCACTTTAACCAATTTATTTTGAGGAAAAGATGGTGGTGTACTCATTGCCTGCCTTTATTGCGATGTCACATTAAAAAAAAAAAAAATTGGTTTCGTTTTTTGGGGGGCCATGGCCCCCTTTGGCCCCCCCTGGATCCGCCCTTGTCCAGTGGACAGATGCACTGCTGGTTGTTCAACAGTATTGTTTTACAATTAAGTAAACAGACAAGCGAGAACAATGCTGTGCATGTTTGTTGAAGAGGAGAGATTAGGTGATGGTTGAAAAATGGAACTGCTACTATCTTGACTGTTTTGACAGACATTAAGTTGCTTCTACTTTCGTTCTACCCCCCCCCCCCCCTCCATCCCACCCACCCCCTAACAAAAACTACTCACTTGTTGGAGATAGGTCTTCGAGGGCGGAGCCTACAGAGGACAGTGCTAGCCTCAAGGGAGGGGGGACGTCGTAATTCTCATGCTGCCCCGTCGTGGCGTCGGAGAGCAGCTCATACACATCCGAGTCCTGGTCACTGCCGGTTGACGAACCCATGGTACTGCTGTTATGCATTGGGATCTGTAAAATACAAAATATAATAATACTCTAGTTTGCCACGATGATTTGAAGTAGCACTTGTAGCCGAGTTTATCACAAGTTCTTACAACTACTCTCAAGTCCATCACAAGTCCACAAGTCCCAAGTCAAGTCACAGGCTGTTTTAAATCTTCTTGATTTGGGCGACGAAAATGATGAGAGAGGAGACCTTGACAGCAGTGGAGACATTCTGAACGACATGCGATGTAGTAGGCCTGATGCACGTATTATCTTCCCCATATTTTTCGTTGGCATAAAAGCCATGATAATCATGATATTTCAACAATATTCTAAATGCTATGTCACTATTTGTGACCTGTTCTGTCAAAATCAGACTTTTCTGGGCATAAGGTCAAAAATAAGATTTTTGCATTTTTGTGAAAATTTGTTCTTTTTCATTTAATGGGTGGTTTAATTTTTGAAACCGGTCATTCCTGGGCAGAGTTATGCTATTTTGAAGTTCATTGTGTCGAAAAGTGGAAAACGGAGAAAACGGCCACGAACGTCACAAAACTGTAATTTCTTTAATTGATATACCTTAAAAAATCATCAAAAATACTATATTTAGAGTTCAAATTATGGTTTCAAACTTTCATAGTTATTTAAGACGTGTTCAGGATTACAAATATGATAAAATTTGAAAATCGAAAAAAAATCACCTCCACAGCGTTTTTTGGCCATATCTTACTTTCAACCTCTGCCCAGGACACATGCAAGGAAACATTTTCCAATAACTCAGTGGAAGGCATCAGTTGGTCTCATGGAATAGTGAATAAATGATTGCGTGAAATACCTCAAAATTCATACATTTTGCACCAAAACCGCACTATTTGTGTCAATTCGGGTCGGTTACTATGACAACCATAAATGCATACAATTGCTCTCTGAGGTGTTTACTCATGAAGTGAGAGTGGTATTTTGTAGTGATGCATTCAAAAGTCTCCTAGCAGTTTGTTTTCATAATTGTTTTTGCCAAAAATCCACAAAGATGGAATGAAAAAGGTCCCAGAATTTAACTTAGTCAAAAAAACTCAAAATTAGGGCTGAGTTTAAAGGGTTTAGAAAAACAGTTTAATAAGGCCAAAAAAAATAAGTCTCCGGTTTCTGGTATGCGCGCGCGTCGCCGTAGCCATGCGCGTCGGCAAAATGAAAAAGTTTTTTTTTCAAGGAAAGATGATGTCTATAAACCGCCAAACTCACTGGTTTGACTGAAATCCTGCTGCTGCACAATTTTAACGTGTTTTTAGATTGGGTTATGGTCGAGAATAAGCTTTATGTGGCCTCTCTGGACTCCCATATATTTGCACTAATTTAATCGGGCACCATTTGCAGTCATCAGCCGACATTTGAAGCAAAAAAATCAGGTAAAAAAAAAAAAGCCGCGTCGCCGCACCACTTTTGGGCAAGCTCCATACCAGAAAACGGAGACTTTTTTTTTTGGCCTAAGGGAACAAATGTGTGCTTGGCTGGTTTTAAACACTTTGTTTAAGACCAGCTTAGAGTCTGGATGCTGATAATTACCCGAGCTGATCAGCATCCAGACTCCAAACTGGTCTTAAACATAGTGTTTAATACCAGGCAAGCACGTATTTATTCCCATTCATAAATAAGGTTTCGGTCCAAAAGTCAAAACTTTTCGGTCCCAAAAAACAAAACAAGTCAAAAAAATATAAATTCCCAACGATTTTGTTCAACAAGTTTACTTTGTGTTTTTGAAACATCCCTCTAGCTATGTTATGGTATGTCTCTCTCACGGGTAGTCGTAAACAACTCCTTATATGGAGATTGGCGCGATGTGGCGCAGAACGCAGCTGTTCCGGTGTACAGTCGAGTCTCGTTAATACAAACTCGTTCGGACCTAGCCAAATTGTTTGTTATATCAGAATTTTGTACTAAGAGGAACATCAGTCCCATTCATTGTGCACATAAATGCACAGTTGGGACTAAGGCTTTATGTTTGTTATAACCAGAATTTTGTATTAACAGAGTTTGTACTAACGAGAGTCGACTGTATTGTGAATTTAGGACTATGAAATACTGACTAACTGGTAGTACTGTGCATGTCTACACAAAGTACGTGAGGATAATGCATTCAACCAATAAAACGGTACTGGCACCAGATTTCATAGGAGTCCAAATTTCATGTGACACCGGGAAAGTGTTTAAAACCAGCCAACCGATGTTTCATCAACTAGGCTATCAGCTTCGGTCCAAAAATCGGGCCACCGGTATCAAATGATCGAAAGAAGCAATCTTCATAGCGATTTTTGGCAATGTATGCACATCTAGAGTTGGAAAATGTGTGATAGCTTTGCAGTGTGATAGGTGGCAGTTTTTAGGGTGTTATCACTTTTAATTTTATTTTTTTCAAAATGGCCGCCAATATGCCTGCTACCAGATTAAAAATATGTGGTAACAAGCATGTTTTGGCCTACATTTGTTTTTAAGTAGTGACAGCACCCAAAAAGCTGCCACCGCTGCAATGCTATCACATATTTTCCAACTACAGGGGTGCATACCTTGCCAAAAATCACAATGAGCATTATTCCCCTCATTTGATACCGACCAAACCCCCAGGCTGATGGCCTAAACCATTTAAAAACCACCCTCATGAGGGGCTCTCGCCCAATAGCAATGGGTAAACTGTCTTAGGTATTTATGAATAAATGATAAGACCACCCTGCTGAAATAAAACTTATAATGACGCTTTGCAAAGTTTGCATTTGTGAAAGTGAATAAGCAGTCACTCCGGGCTTCTGTCAGTGTTTGAAAATAGGGCGTCCAAATTGTCCTCGAATTTGATGTCCAAGACATCCAAGTTGTTGAAGTTTTAGGCCTATGTTTTCCATGTATACATTTGTGCAACGGAATTGGGTGTCTGAAACATGGCTCAGGTGCCTAACAGACACCCAGACACCCAGACACACAGACAGGCTTAAAGGGAAGATACAACATTTGCAAACATCACAAAACGAAATGATCAAAGTGTCACGCAATACCTTACTGAATTGTTAGGGACTGACAGTCTAAAGCATCCTTGAAATTCGTGGCTCCTGGTGTTCTGACATTTTCAAAAAATGGCATTTTTCCAATGCTGGTCGGCCGTAGGAGAAAACTGGCTTTTTCAAAAACTGCTCCTAATTTTTCAATTAGTTATTCCACGTTTTCTTTGCAGTTGATTACACACCTGTGAAGGGGTACAAGCCTGCTAGACTGATTCTCCGACCTTACAATCCCCCAAAGTCTAAAAATTGATCTGTTTCATCTTAAGTGGGGTCAGGGAACCGGACTACAACAACATGATTGATTTTCTTGGTTTTGCCAGCATCTACAAGCCAAAAACGTGAAACAAGTCATTTTAACAATATTTGCTATAACATACTAATCCTCCAAATCCATTTATTTCTGAAAATTGCAGCAGAAGCAAATGTACATTCCCTTTAAACCTGACACTCACTTGCAGGTGCTGCTTGAGAACAGCCAACTCTTGCAGCTGCTGAGCAGCGACGTCACCACTGTAAGCCTCAGACAGATCCTCATAGAAGCTCTCTGTCTCAGAGGAAGAGTAGGTGGGGCCAGGGGTGTGGCCAGGGGTGCGGCCAGGGGTGTGGCCAGGGGTGCGGCCAGGGGTGGGGCCAGGGGTGGAGCCAGGGGTATGGCCAGGGGCAGGGCCAGGAACAGGGCAAGGTGGGAGGCTAGGGGCGGGGCCAGGGGCGGGGCCAGTGGAGGGACCAGGGGCGGGGCCACAGAAAGCGGCATCCATGAGTAGACTCCTCCGGAGTTCGTTGACGTCCTCCTTGGAAGAGATAACAGGGTCACCGTCAGTTTGGTCGGGCGCCTAAATGTTTGAAGCAAATGGAGAATGGATTGCAAATCAGAGAGTGAAAGCAAGCGCATAACAAACATGCATGGAGGCACGGGCGGGTCGGTGGATGATTTAGTGGATGGGTGATTTAGTGGATGGGCTAGTCAGGCATGGTGGTTGATGGGGTGGATTGCAGAGCTGAGATCAAGTCGTTACAAGTCAGTCATGAATCAATCCTGAGTAAATCATAAGTCAATCAGAAGTCAAAGTGTCCATTATAAGTCTTTCACAAGTCCTTACAAGTCCAGCAAATCAGGAGTCAATCACAAGTCAACCACAAATCATCACGTGTTATTGCAAGTTAACCACATACCATCACATGTTATCGCAAGTCAACCACAAATATCATTATATGTTATCGCAAGTTAACCACAAATCATCACGTGTTATGGCAAGTCAACCACAAAATCATTATATGTTATCGCAAGTCAACCACAAATCAACACGCTATCGCAAGTCAACCACAAATCGTCACGTTATCGCAAGTCAACCAGAAATCATCACATTATCGCAAGTCAACCAGAAATCATCATGTTATCACAAGTCAACCAGAAATCATCACATGTTATCGCAAGTCAACCAGAAATCATCACATCTTTATCGCAAGTCAACCATAAATTATCACATGTTATCACAAGTCAACCAGGGGTGCATTTTGGCGGTCATAACCAAGAATTGGTTCGGTGGTTTCTTGTCGGTGAATTTCTTCTGCAAATTTAATTGGGTTAGAATTACGTGTGATCATGTAGTACTCAAATCCCCAAAAACAATTAACCAAAGAGAAACCACCGAACCAATTCTTGGTTATGACCGCCAAAACGCACCCCAGAAATCATCACATGTTATCACAAGTCAACCAGAAATCACCACATGTTATCGCAAGTCAACCACAAATCACCACGTCTTTATCGCAAGTCAACCACAAATCATCACGTCTTTATCGCAAATCAACCAAAAATCATCACATGTTATCACAAGTCAACCAGAAATCATCACATGTTATCACAAGTCAACCAGAAATCATCACATGTTATCACAAGTCAACCAGAAATCATCAACATGTTATCACAAGTCAACCAGAAATCATCACATGTTATCACAAGTCAACCAGAAATCATCAACATGTTATTGCAAGTCAACCACAAATCGTCACATGTTCTCACAAGTCACTGCAAGTCGTCAAGTCAATCAATGACAAATCATTACACCTCTTTGGTGATATTTGTGTTGCTGAGTATATGTGGATGAGTGGAAAAATTGGTGGATGTACGGTAGATGAGCACAATGGATGAACAAGTGATACATGCATTTGGTGGGATCAACGTTTCGCATGCCAATTTGGCTCATAAATATGTATGAGCTTCAGTTGTTTCCATTCGCCATACAGGGTGAGTAAAAAAAACCGAAACCAATATGTCGGGACTATTGTTTTAGTGAAGTTCTGCATGTAGCACTTTCAAAATCTGTGATATGAAAGCCCAATTCATAAGCTTCCTTGTAGTACAAGAATCATTCAAATCACTCATGTACTTTTCAAGTTATGGAATTTTATACACAGCCACCGTTTTAAAGTTCTGTCCATGGATCACAAAAAAGGTTCTTTCAGCCAAACGAAAACATTTCAAACACATTCCTATGTGTTTGTTTTCGTTTTGCTGAAAGTACACTTACCTTTTTGTGATCCGTGGACGGAACTTTGAAACGGTGGTTGTGTTTAAAATTCCGTAACTTGAAAAGTACAAGAGTGATTTGGATGATTCTTGTACTAAAAGAAAGCTTCTAAATTGGGCTTTCATATCCTAGATTTTGAAAGTGCTACATGCAGAACTTCACTAAAATAAGTCCCGACATTTGGGTTTCGTTATTTTTGACTCACCCTGTAAAGAATTGCAAGAAGTAGCCATGATCTTCAGATGCAGCAACATTTTGTGTGACTTACATAGACATGCCTGTGTTTACTAGAAACAGCTCTCAGCTGTACTGGCTTCTCCTGGGGTACGAAGCTAGGAGGGGTGGGGCACTTGAAGGAGGCGGTTGTCTTGACAGGCACTGAGTGGGAGGCACTGACGGCGGTTTTGGTTGCGTTAATGCGGAGTTGGGTGTACTCCCCCGCCACCTCTTCGTCGTAGTAGTTGCGGTCTGGAAGCGGTGGAGGCGACTTCTCAGAATCTATTCAAAGAAAAACAAACCTTGTTAATAGATAAACCACAACAGGAGTGTAATGGCCTAGCGGTTAAGAGCACCGGACTCATGCTCTGGTGTTTCAGAGGCAACAGTGGTGTGGGTTCGAGCCTGCAGGGTGGACACTTGTGTCCTTAAGCAAGGCACCTAACCATTATTGCTTCGTCCTTCGGATGGGACGTAAAGCCGTAGGTCCCATGTGTTGTGTAATCCAATGCACGTCAAAGAACCCAGTGACACTTATCGCTAAGAGAAGGGGTTTGCCCCGGTGTTTCTGGCCTCCTGTATAAACTCCCACGCGGCCTATTTAGGAGATGCACCAATCAAGAACCAAGAACCAAGGAAACAGACTGCTATGTACTTCAGATTCGAACCAGCCAGCCGATCCCGTTGGCTCGGTGGTCGAGTGGTAAGACATCTGCACTGGAGGGCAGGAGGTCGTGGGTTCGAGTCCCACCCGAGTGATTTTTTCCAACTTTCACTCGGGAGGTAACACACTGAGTATACAGTGTTCAAACATCGGTGAAGGGCAAAACCTAATTTGATTTATATCACCCCGACGCAAAAAAAAAAAAAAATATGGGAGAACCCAGACATTGACTGGTGTGGAGCTTGAACCTGTGACTTGTGAAATTCTTTTGTGCTATAAAATCCTTGATGGAAAACACGTTTGCAGAAAAACCTCTGGAATTCCAAATTTCAAAATTTTAAAAAAATCCTGAAATCGGGAAAACTCCTGATAAGGCTATCAGCTTCGGTCCAAAAATTGGGCCACCGGTATCAAATGATCAAAAGGAGCAATGCTCATAGCGATTTTTGGCAAGGTATACACATCTAGAGTTGGAAAATGTGTGATAGCTTTGCAGTGTGAGCGGTGGCAGTTTTTGGGCGTTATCAGTTTATATTTTTTCAAAATGGCCGCCAATATGCTTGTTACCGGATTAATTTAATGTGGTAACAAGCATGTTTTGGACACCATTTTTATTTAAAAGTGATAGCACCCAAAAAGCTGCTACCGCTGCAATGCTATCACATATTTTCCAACTACAGGGGTGCATACCTTGCCAAAAAAACACAATTTAGCATTATTCCCCTCATTTGATAACGACTAAACTCCCAGGCTGATGTCTTATTACAAAAAAATCCTGAAATCGGGAACAATCCTGACAAAATATCCTGAAATCACAAACAATCTGGACAAAAATTCTAAAATTGAGAAAAATCCTGACAAAATACGCCAAAATCCTGAAATCAAGAACAATCCTGACAACAAATACTGAAATTGGGAAAAAAATCCCGACCAAAAACCCTGAAATCAGAAAAAATCCTGACAAATCACACCCCTGCAGACTGACTATGTGTAAGGAGTTGACTCTGAAACTGAATAATGAAAATGTGGGTGCACTGAATTGTGAACCACTTCCACTGGCGACCAAGTCTAGGGGCTAAACGCTTTTAAGGTTTTATACGCGATTACCCGCCGCCGCGATAACCCAACGCGAATATCACCCACGAACCAATCAGGAACAACGTCTAGGGAAATTCGTCTCGGTTGTGTAATGCGCGCGCACCTGTTTGGCCTAATCTATGCAGCGCGCAGTCAAAACATTTCACTGTAGTTCCAAACCAAACTCCTAAATTTCTTCCAGCAGTAAAAAAGACGCAGCAAGACTTTTGTGCAACTTCACTGGTCAGCTCTCTTTTAGTGTGTAGAGTGCGTGCAACTGAAAATGGACCGTAATAAGCCTCTGTACTGATGACGTCACACTTTGCTTACATGTGCACTTTCCTATGGAGCCAGTGGGGGCCCACGGTCCACTGAGCACCGTAGGAAAGCACACACATAAAACAAACTGAGACGTCATCAGTACAGAGGCTTATTGCCTGCAGAAGTAGTGCATGCACACTCGTTTCCCCAATTTTTCGGGGGGAGATTTTACGAATTTCCCTAGATGTTGTTCCTGACAGATTCGAAGGTGATATTGGTTGGTCGTGATAACGCCCTCTTGCGGCGGCGGGTTATCGCGGCGGCGGGTTATCGTGGCGGGGATTATCGCGTATCAAACCATAACAACGTCTAGCCCCTAGACTACTCGCGACCTCGTTCCATACCTGAGCTCTTTGGCTGTGACACCGGACTGCTGCCACCGGACGGAGCAGACGACAGTTCACACATGGAAGTACTGGCGTTTACCAACGGCGATTCGGCCCTGGGCGAAGAGGACAAGTCCACCTTGTCCAGAAGCACCCCGATGGAGGACCGAGAGGGCTTCTTAGGCGGGACCTTCAGTGGGATTTCCAGGTTCATGTAGTTGGTGCTGCGGTTGACCGCGGCGCCGGCCGTGGGCCGAAACGGCCGCGTGGGCTTTTTGACCATCGGAGGAGTGTAGGCCGAATGGCGCGTGACTGCGGCTACCGCAACTGGGGAAGGGGGCGTGGCCGGTGGCACGTTGTCGTACGTGGACCGCTGTTCAGGGTCGATGAGGTCTTTGACGCGGCGGAGGGGGCCGGGAGTTGAGGAGGAGGGAGGTAGTGGACTGCCTTTTATGTGAGCTGAAACACAAAAGGAAGTGAAAATGATATCCCAGCATCCATTTTTTTGGGGCAAACCATTTAGTTTTTTAGTTTTTGTAAAATTAATAAAAGGAGGCAATAAAGGCCATTTTTAGGTTGTAATAAGGACACAAAGGCCAATGCAAATTTGTGCAAATATTTACTCAAGGAGTGCCCTGCAAAATGAGCAGCAACTCTATTTTTTTAATTAGTCTTGATTAATTTTCACAATTGAGGCCATTTTCCAAACGACGGTCTCCTCTGTGGCTTCAGCTACATGTTGTACATCTCTGACCTCAAAAACTATTAACAGGCCTTAAATGTCAAATACAAATGGAAAGACGCCAAACTTTGTACTTGAAGACAAAGCTGGAGACGAAGTCAAGGTTTGACAAATGACTAAGTGAACAGACTGAAGATGCAACTAAATTGTGGCTGTGGCTTTCAGTAACACACATGTGTACTTGCAAGCCTATGAAGACAAAGCTGGGGACGAAGTCAAGGTTTGACAAATGACTAAGTGAACAGACTGAAGATGCATCTAAATTGTGGCTGTGGCTTTCAGTAACACACATGTGTACTTGCAAGCCTATGAAGACAAAGCTGGGGACGAAGTCAAGGTTTGACAAATGACTAAGTGAACAGACTGAAGATGCATCTAAATTGTGGCTGTGGCTTTCAGTAACACACATGTGTACTTGCAAGCCTATGAAGACAAAGCTGGGGACGAAGTCAAGGTTTGACAAATGACTAAGTGAACAGACTGAAGATGCATCTAAATTGTGGCTGTGGCTTTCAGTAACACACGTGTACTTGCAAGCCGTAGCCAATGTGGAGGCTGCCCTAGTACCCTGACTCTCACCTTTGATCATGGCGGCGATCTCAATAGCCACCTTGGACGGGTACCCTTCTACTTTCTGTAGCGCGGTCTCATTGGCCATGTCCTTGATGCGGTAGTTGATAGGTGGGTCGTGTTCGAGGAGAACGCGCACTGCTTCCGCTTTGCCAAACAGCGCCGCCTCGTGTAATGCTGAACCGGTCTTGAGCTGGGCACCAAAAGCAGAAGGAAAAAAAGAAAAGAAACTAGAGCTTTAATTTCAGATAAACAGTTACTAGACTATGGAATCTGTGCACGAGAACCCCGTTAAAAATGCCCTAGAGAGAAAGATAGGCACTCTTGATTGCCTTTCTGTCAGATGCCTGCTGTTCATGCAAAGGTTGGATTGTGGCTTTTTAGAATAACATTAGCCGTGCCTACATCATGTGAACCAATGTTTACAAGCAATGTGTTGCATATACGGAGATTTCAAGTGTGATCACCAAAAACCTTCTACTGTTCATCATGTTCATGCTATATAGAGTCTTGGGAACTTTGGCAATCTGTCCGAGGACTTTCTACCATACCTCACATGTGCTGTATTAAAGCTCACGCTCGTGTGTGAGACAGGGGGAGGGGGGTGTGGCATGATCAGAGGGTCAGGGGTTCGAATCCAGCTGCTGGTCATATGTTGTGTCCTTGGGCAAGCCGCTTCATCCCAACTTGCCTCTCTCCACCCAGGAGTATAAATGGGTACCGGCATTAGCTGGGGAGTAACCTGCGATGGACTGGCATCCCATCCAGGGGGAATAGATGGGCTATACTGGCTCGCGACAGATTTTGCTTTCACATATGAGGCACGTTCAGAATTTCTTGAGTCCCAGTGCCAAAGTTTTCAAGACTGTATTTGATGCATCTTGTTGATCAATAGTATACAAATATTGAGTAGCTCAGAGTGTAATGGGAGGAATATTATCGCTCAGTAAAATCTGGACTTTTCCAGTTCATGAGGCGAAACTGGAAAAGTACAGATTTTACCGAGCGATGCTATTCCTCCCATTTCACAATTTAAAGCCACACAACATTTGTTTTATATAACTGACATATAGATCCTTGTCATTTGATATATTTGAACTTTTATTTCAACATAAAATTGGTGGAAAATGTATTTCTCTCTTCCAAACCACCCCTTCACGAAAATGTTTGAACCCAACTCTGTAGCGCTGGCTCTTTGGAACAATACGCGTTACGCGCAACACTGAACGCGCACACCAGCTTGCATTCGCACACAAATACCGCGTCATGGAACAAGAATGATCCTAACTGTCGAATAGTATTTCCCATTCCCCATGGGCGAATGGGACTTTTTGAGCCCCGGCGTGAATGGGAGCAATAACGAATGTCATGTGATGTGAGTTCCACCAATCAAATGACAAGGATCTGTATGTCAGTTATATAATGCCCTCTATCACCAAAGCGGCTTGACTCACTCACCAGGGATTGGGACTGGCTGGATTAGGAGGAACAAAATACAAATCAAGTCTTGGATCAAGACTAGACTGAAACGGATGTGATACCTTCTTATTGATGTCGCAGCCAGCTTCCAGGAGAGCTTTGATGACCTGAGGATGACCGTTTCTGGCCGCTAGGTGGAGGATGGAACGGTGCTCTTGGATCCGATTGAGAAGCTCTGGCCGTCTCCTGAGCAGGAGCTCCACTGTCTCCAGCCGGCCGTACTGGGCAGCCAGGTCCAAGGGCGTCTCTTCTTTCTTGTTGACGATGGTGGGGTCAGCTCCATTCTGTGGAGTTATAATTAACAATTACTCACTGTTATAAAAATAACAATAATTTGGGAGGCTAATGAAATGTTGCACCTCGGCTTTGGAACCGTTTGCCACTTGAAATCAGAGACACAGAAAACATCACATCTTTCACGCAGCAACTCAAAACACATCTCTTCATGCTGGCTTTTCCAGATAATTGAGTGTTTTTTTTGTTTTGTTTTTCTTTACATCTATAGACCGGCGCCTTTGAATGGATTCCAGAGATATAAATACTGTATTATTATTATTATCCTTACTCGCAGCTGAGAAGCTGAATTGCGAAAGACACAGCTACAACGTGGTCGAGCCGCAGGCATGTAAAGGCACCTTTGGTAGCCGCCATACGACCCATACATGACCACTGAGCACAGCCAGAGATTGAAAGTGTTTGATGTTTCTTTGGAGGGAGGAAAACCAGAGGGCCTGGAGAAAAAACCCTCATGGCACAGGAGAGAACCAACGCTCAACTCTACTCACATATGGTCCTAGCTGGGAACTAACCAGGGCCACAGTAGTGAGAGGCGAGCGCTTTACGCACTAGCCACCCACGCCACCCTGCTCTTACATATGAACCATTTTTGGGGTCTTGTAACTGGATTTCGTTTCTAACGCACGTAACAAAAGGTGTGTTTACGGGCACCCTACTGGAAACCACAGGTTAGTTTTCTTTCAAACAGTACCATTTCAGGGTGGAATAGTTTCATAGGGTGTTTGATACAAAACCCATTTTCATTTTTAACAAAGTATTTTATCGCTAAATTGGTAGGTACGTTTCTGGGTGACTGCGAATGATCCTACGTGGCGTTAACAACAACTTACTTACCTCCAGCAACAACTTGACAACATCAGTGTGGCCATACTGTGCTGCAAAGTGTAAGGGCGAATCCCAGTCATTGTTCTGAAATAAAAAATAATTAGAAATCACAAATGTAAGTACTTTCCAACAACAAACATGAAGTTATTTTCGCTTTCATTTTGGGTTTTGCCCTTTGCCGCCATATTTTTACAGACACTGTATGGTCAGTGTTGTCTGAGGGGCTGGCGAGAAAAAAATCACAAGATTACGCGGGTGGGACTCGAACCCACGACCTCCTGCTTACGAGTGCAGACATCTTACCACTCGACCACTGAGCTTAACAGGGTCGGCTGGCCGGTTTGAGTCTGCTGTACAAGCCGGTTCAGTACGCAAACTTTTTATAAGATGGAATTTGCGTTAGGGAAATGAAAATTTTATATTGGATTTTGTCCTTCGCTGCTGTGACACTGAGTATACGGAGTTAATAACATTTGTTGGCGAAGGGCAAACCCCGATATAAACTTTACATTTCTCCACAATTTCCATCACATGTGATGCGATCAAGCTACATGAGTCGTTTGTCGGGAATTTTCATTTAGAGATACAGGCCAAAATAGGGCCACTTCATCACATCACTTCATCACATCTCTTGGTGTTCTGACTTCCATAATTTTTTAAACTAAGGATGGTACCAGCATGCGGTTTTCACATCAGTAGGCCTAATGCTGAGATTGTGCTCTTTTCAAATCTGTAATAAAAAATTTTTTTGACTGGGTTTGAGAAACAACTCATTTAGCTTGATTGCATCACAGATGTTAATGTTAAATGCATATTTGTGAAGTGCATACTTGACGAAACGCGAAAACATGAACTGGGTATGGTTTGCAGAATTCAATGACCACTGGGCCTTTAATACAAAAACACTCCAGAGCTGTACTGTTGCAAAGAAATGGATAAGAACTCTCTGATCAGTCGAATGTGCAGGCTGAGAACACCAATAGCAAGTGCATCGGTGAACATGGAGGAAATTGGGGCATGTTCTAATTGTTTTCTTTAGCCTGCATCACAAGAAATGGAAGGCTTCGGTTTTTTTAAAGGTTGGTTTCAAATATCCGGTATTAACCAAAATCGAAACGAATAATGGAATTCAAACCGAATGTTTAACAATCTGGATTTAAATCCCATCACTAATAGGTAACACAATTAATGTTGTGTGCCGTCGGTGTACATGTACCTGTTCGTTGATGTAGCTGTAGGACCTGGCATGAGACATGAGGACTCGGATGACCTCAGCAGCTCCCGTCCAGGCAGCCAGGTGGAACGGCGTGCTGCCTTTGGCATCTGGTATACCTGGCGAGGCATCGTGCTTCAACAGGAGATCCACGGCATGTCTGATGATAACAAAATAAATAATACACGGATGAGATTGGGGGAAGTGAAAAAATCCGAGAAATAACCAGCAGGAGGTTTGTGTCAATTGTGGGCGACTGCAACCCTCTGAAAGAAAAGGCTTTTATTTTACGCACAAATGAACCCGCCCTTCGAGAGCCAAAATATTATCTGGAAGCGATAGTTCTAATTCAATAACTTAACATCACGTCAGTGGATTTATTTTAAATGTCTTATCCAAAAGTCAGTGTTGTTGTTGAAACTCCACAAGACCATCACAAGACTATCATAAGACCATCACAAGACCCTCACAAGACCCTCACATGGCCCTTACAATACCATCACAAGACCCTCACATGGCCCTTACAATACCATCACAAGACCCTCACACCACCCTCACAAGACCCGCACAAGACCATCACAAGATCATCACAAGACCATAGCAAGCACATCACAAGACCCTCACAAGTCCATCACAAGCCCCTCACAAGACCCTAACAAGACCATCACAAGTCCATCACAAGTAGATCACAAAATCCTACTCTCCTTCAAACACCATTCATCCTCAATCCTCCAAAACCCTCCTCTTCTTCAAACACCGTTCATCATCAATCTTCCAAAATCAACCGATAGGCCTACTGAATGTCCATGTGCCCTCAATCCTCCACTATCTTCCAAAAACCACCCGGAGGACTTTGGAGGATTAAGGAAGGTTGGGAATTATCAATAACACCTTTTAACCCTAACAGAACTCAACCCATCAAACCCCAATGGCATGTTTTGTTGGAATCTGTCAGGATGGGTACAGTACCCCTAAACTGACAGTCTTTTACATTGGGTTGGCACACCTCCAGAATCAAAGAGCTATCAATGCATCCATCCTCAATCCTCCACAATCCTCAAAAAACCACCCGGAGGACTTTGGAGGATTAAGGAAGGTTGGGAATTACCAATAACACCTTTTAACCCTAACAGAACTCAACCCATCAAACCCCAATGGCATGTTTTGTTGGAATCTGTCAGGATGGGTACAGTACCCCTAAACTGACAGTCTTTTACACTGGGTTGGCACACCTCCAGAATCAAAGTCAGAAATATGTGTGTGCAGTTTCCAATATGGTGTTGGAATTTGCCAGGATGGGTATGGTTCCTAGTAAATCACGCTAGGGAGTTAGGGTTAATGGCTACAATGAATCAGTCCACATATGATCAATAAAGACCCGTAAGCCACAAAATACCAGAGAAACGTCATGTTATTCGGCGGTGGCCCTAAACTGCCTTTTGATGTCTTGGCGGATTCCTGTTTATGGAAGTGGACCCAGTTGGCATGGTTGGCTTCCAGCTAACCCAGGAAATTGTTGGGCCCGTGGGGCTCTGGAATGATTTAATTACAACCATTACAGGATAGAGTGCTCACAGATTGCAATCCATTAGATATTGAACACTCAGGGGACTATACATATATCTTGGGGAGTTGTGATGAGATCCATTCAGGAATTGTCCTCTAAATTGTGGATATTTTTATTAAAATCCCACAAGAGCTCACAAATGCAAATTGTTAAAGGTATTAATTAATATGCTATACATGTACCTACAATGTAGCTGCAAACATTAAAAAATGAGACTGCCAAATTATTATGTGCCATGGCCTCATGGTCTTGAGCACTGAATTCATGGTCTGCGGGTAATTCTGCAGGTTGTGGGTTCGAGTCCAGCCTGCGGCTATGGTAAATGTGCTCTTAGGCAAGGCACTTTGTCACTCATTGCTTCTCTCCACCCAGGAGTAAATGGGTACCTGTGAGTGCAGAGATGGTTATTGTGGCTGATTTTAGGGGTGCAGACCAGTAAATCGGTCCGAAATTGCCTACACCGGCCAAATCACGATTTGCATGCCCTCAAAATCTTCAGTATTTGAGCATGCTGTGGGCCATGAACTTGAGGGTTTGTAAAAAATATGGGTGGAAGCCGTGCACAGGACTGGGAGCTTGCAGTTCTGTGTAATCTGGACCCTAAAAGCGCTCTATTTTGCAATGGAGTGTAGGCATCGTTTTTCAAAATGGCGACGGGCTTCAGGACTATTTTCAGGGATGAATATCTTCAGATGGAAATTTCTCCTAAAAGTCATCAGTTGACCCCCCGAAAATTGAAAAGAAAATGAAAGATGATGAAATAAGCTTTAATTTGATGTGTGTCTCGAACACCTTGGAGAGTTGTGAGTATTTTTCCTGAATTTCTGAAGTGGGAGCATTTACCATTGGGGTCTATGGAAGTTTATTTACTGGTCTGCTACCTTAGCTGCTTTGCGCCGAAATGGCTGCATCGAGCTGTATACTCCCCAGGGAGCTGAGATGGTATTTGGAATGTTTCATTGGCCCAATGAGCAGGGTGATAATGATGTAACGCCTCGGGCACCAATAATGGTGGATACATACATGTACGTGCGCTTTATAAATACCCATTATTATTACGAAATAGCCTACTTGATTGCATAAATAGCATCAAACATCCTGTGCAATTATCGCACCTGGTATTCCGTTGTTTTCAAGAAAAGAAGAACTACCATCATTTCCCGATTGTTCTGACCGCAGAGCTATCAATAATATGTTCTGACCAAACCATCCCTGGAAAATTAAAAAACAACGGTACTGTGCGTGTACTGAATGACATGCAGTCATGCTTGCACACTCTATGACCCAGGCACCATTTCAAAACTGTGAAATGTGTTGTACAGTACATTTATAAAGGAAACCCATGACCAGCCCACTTCCTACTCTGCGATAATAAAACTTGTTTCCTGAACAATGTAGTCTAAATTAAGAACAGGTGATCAGGATAAAATTACATGTACTGTATTCTTGTCCATGTAATAAATGAACTGTATGAGCTTTTTTTTTTTTTTTTACAGGTCATCAAACTGGGATGACCACAGAATGACGTAGCTCACAAGAGGTGCGGTTTGGGAAAATAAAACAATCCAAACAAGTTTTTGGTGGATGATTTGGGGTAGTTGAGGGCTTGAGGCCCAAGGGCGATGTACGTATGTATGTGTAGTGTCTACATGCGGTTGTATACAGTACACAGTGGAACGTTGCTATAACTAACACCGCCATACCGAACATTCGGCTATACCGAACATCATCCTAGGCTCCCGATTTTTTTGTACAAAATGTACTCAACATTGTTGTTGAAAACTGTCAACATAAGAGTGACAAGTGGCTATTACTTCCCCAAGGAATAGAAGGGAAAAGCCACCCATTGCTGTAGGTATTAAGCTCAGAAATTGTGTAATTTTACATAATTCATTAGTCGGCACGTGTTCGAAGTCGTCTTTCAGTAACTACCAGGACGTGCAGGGTGAAGGTCTGAAGGGGGCCATTTATTGAAAGTGAGTACCAGAGCACCGGCAGCTTAAAATCCCTATACCGAATGATCGCTATTATGAACAATTTCTGTGGATCCTGTGATGTTCGTTATAGCGGCGTTTCACTGTATATTCATTGTCAGGGCTGCCCTGAATGTACCGAATATTCAAAAATTGGATCATCAACTAAATATATTTGAATACCGGTAGCTTTTTGCCGGTTTCAATATTCAAAGAAAAAAACCCCAATTTCTGTGACTGTGAATGTTATTTTACTCGTACAGTAGCGTTTTGATTAAGACGCCACTTTTTGGCTGATGGTAACTTTTTAGTCGACACGGAAAGATTTCCATATACAAAGTTCACTCAACACCCTGTGTACAAACCCATAGCTGCCAACTTTTCAAAATCCCAATTAGTAATCAACCCGCGCGGTCATTTTCGACTGCTCGTTTTATCAAAAGCTTTACCAACATCGAGTACAGGTACATGGTTTACATGTACACATACATGTGCATACCCTTCTTGTTGTGAATAATAATGCACTGTAGGCCAAAACATAATATAAAAAAAATTTAAAAAAAAAAAAAAAAAAAAAAAAAAAATCATTTTTTTTTTTTTTAAATTAATTTTGTTTTAATGTCTGTATTTGTTTGTTGAAGTCAAATAAATAATAACAATAATAACATGTGCGCATATTTTTTTTTGAGATGCATGCTATCGATGTGGAGTTTCGAGTTCGTATCAATGTTTTTACACACAATGATTTAGGGCCACCGTATGCAATAGAAATATCCCGCCAACATACCTTGCAAACGTATGCTGATTTATCTTTTCTGGATGTTGTGACAAACTCAAACTCTATTACCAATTATTCCAACCATACTCTTAATATTAAATTCCATGATTAAAATTTCGCACTGATGGGTCTCATCCCGGCAATAAGCGACCAAATGTGCTCACGATCGTCACTGAAAAGTACTCACATACAGTACACACAACCACACATCCACGAGATGCACACAAATGACACACCATTGAAAATAGTTTTAGTCTGGTCCTCAAGTACTCCACTGCGCACACTGCATTGATGTCTATCAGGTGCTTGACTGCATTCTTATTAGACTTGTCACCAGTCCATCCATTATCGCGACATTTCGCCAGAAGTTTTCGATCAAAAACGAAGTATTTTTTTTTCGTTAAATAGAAAATGGGAAATTCGTAATGTTTTAGTGGCAAATCGTATTTTCGTAATTTAACAAACAATTCGTAATAATTACGAAAAATTCGTAACAGTTGGCAGCTATGCAAACCCTATGAGATTGGACTGAACAATTCTAAGTATTTTCTAAGAAAATGCTTGTATTTTCTCACTGCTCAAACTGACTTTGATGACATGAAATTGCTATCTGGGGGCTTGTTAGTCAATACAGAGGAAAATTAGTGAACTTCGTACATGTATGGAAATCTTTCCGTCGACACCTATTTACTGGCTCCATTGTTTCAGCTGGGGTACAGTCCCTATTACCGGTACCACTTACACAATGTAATACTTCAAAACACTCCAGCAGGCCCATAATATCCATCAATGCATGCACATTTTAACTGGGGCGCTTTGTATGCAAGTTTTTGACCAGTGAGGAAGGCAGCTGCAGCTGGCGTGAGTAAGACTTGATCGGCAAGTTTTGAATATTTGAATAATCGGTCAAGTGCAGTTTCGAACAATCGAATACTACATTATTCGAAAATGGACAGCATTATTCATTGTTGCAAAAAGGTCTCTCAAAAAGCTGATTGCTTTTTTTGTACAGCAGTTGGCTACAACCGTTCACAAATGTTTGAAGACTTTCTTTCAGAAACGCAACTCAAGGTCAAATCATACATTTTAAGACGCATACAGTCGTGTTCGCACCGTCGATCGTGGACGTCCTATTGTCCCTCTTTTGTTTGTACTCTAACTTTTAAGGAAGACTCCCATAGGTTTTGTACACGACCCCAATCGCGGACGTATGCTGGGAATCATGGACGATATTGTTCTCTTTTGTTCTCTGGTATTTTTCGTCCACGGTTTTGAAAAGATGAACACGAACATGTACATGAACGTGTATGTTATTCACTTTTTTCCTTCCTCAAAACATTTTACAATAAATTTCTCTTTCCAAGGAACAAAAAATAATCAAACAGAAATGCGCTTGTCACATCCTGATAAAAATAAGTCATAAATCAAATTGGTAGAAAATTCACACTTTCATATTGTGATCAAGATGTTGATAAACTTTCAACCAGGAAATAGTTTCTAAAAAATACCCAGAAATAACTTGCACTGAACTGGCAGCAAAATGTATACAAATCCTGTGTGAAAAATCTCTGCAAATTCAAGGATTTTTGCCAAGAATTGTTTTGACAACTTTAGGATGACATTTTGCAATGTTCATTTCACTCTTACATGTATGTGTTGGATTTTCGTTTTAAAGGGAATATACATCATTGGCTTTTGCTGTAATTTTCAGAAATGAACTATTTGAGGGGTTACTATAATAGATCAAACATTGTTTCACTGACATGTTTGAAGTTTTGTGTTCAAAAATGCTGGAAAAAACAAGAAACACACAAACGGTGGCGTAGTCTGGTTCCCTGACTCCACTAAAGATAAAATGGACCAATTTATGGATGCCGGAAAATTGTATTAAGGTAAGAGAACCAGTCTAGCTGGCCTGCACCCGTTCATGAACATGTAACCAATAGCAAATAAAATTTGGAGTGAAAAAATGGTGAATTTGGAGCAGTAGTTGAAAAATAGTTAGGTTTTTCCAACGGTGGTCGGCCGACCATCGTTGGAAATTTATACAAAAATACCATTTTCTTGAAAATGACTTCACACCAGGTGCCATAATTTTACAGGGTGCTTTAGACTGTCATTTACCAACATCCTAGTCAGGTATTTTGTTAAAACTTGGAGTTGTATTTTTCGATGTTTGCAAATGTTGTATATTCCCTTTAATAACAAAAATACTCACTACTCGGTGTCAATTTTTGCAGTTGTACAAGTCCCCTAAAGTATGGAAACTCTGCTGGTATCATTTCCAAGTACTGTTTGTATAGGCCTAGATGAAGTGTTTTTCAACACATAACAAATTAGCCAATATCACATAGTGTACAGTGTACAATGTACACATGTATACATCATACATTACATTGGGCACAGCTAAGGCATTCAGCAGATGCTGTGTAGTGCTGAGTGATGTACCGGGTATACATGTACATTTGCAGTGTACATCATGTACATGTACATGTACAGGCAAAAGGATGCATCTTTAGATTTAGTTGGTGAGCTTGAATTGAAGGTCAAAAAGATCAATGGAAATTCCTTGAAAAAGTTCACTATACCATAATGTATACAAAATTAATGTGGTTGTGCTGTGGTCCATTAGATTTTCTACAAGGATATCGGTACATAAAAAGTCATGGACCGTATTGTGGCAGACATTTTGAAACTGAATTGAGCTTTTTGTCATTCCGCTGTTTAGCTTTCTTTCGTCTAAATGTTTGTTGATGTTCACAATCGGAGTCGTGATTTCACTTTATTTTGAGGAATCACTTCCCTGTCGGTACATGTAGGTCCTATTATGTACATGACATGGTTGATGGAATCGCGCCCCTGAAAGATTGCGAAAAAAAACGGGGCTTTGTGGAATAACATAAAATGTACATTGTGTGTTTGATTTTAAATGAATGAATAGTGAAGTTTACAGCACCATGAAATGAAGATGCCAATACTCACTTTTTGTGCTAATCGTGTAACACTCAGAGTTGCCAGTACTTGTCTTGAATTGTGTGGTAAAGAAACAAATCTTTCAAGGTAGATAATCATGTTCTATGGAGAGATCATTGGCGGATCAAGGGAGTGGGGTGGAGTGGAAGGGGGGGGGGGGCAACAGGGTCCATGGGCCCTTCCAAAGGAGAGTGAAGACACCTTTTTGTGTAAAATTTTCAGGAAACAAATCTTGCGAACCACCCTAAACCCCTGGTCCCGTTTTGCTAGGAACCATCCTCAATCCTCCAAAATGTTGCACTTATATTCAAATGAAGGATACCCAGCGCCTCAATCCTTCAAAATCGTCAGACAGTCCTGCCTCAAAAATGCATTCATCCTCAATCCCCAAAATCCTCCTCTTCAAACACCATTCATCCTCAATCCTCCAAAATCCTTATGTGCTTCAACACCATTCATCCTCAATCCTCTAAAATTCTCATGTGATTCAACACCTGTTCATCCTCAATCCTCCAAAATCCACATTTCTCAAACACCATTCATCCTCAATCTTCTGAAATCCTCCAAAACCGCAAAGAGGATTTTGGAGGATTGAGGTGGGTTAGGGTAAGCTACATATGTGTACATATGTACATGTACCTTTTAGTTTTAATATTATAATGTGGAAATTGTGCATACTAATAATCCCCTTCCACTTGTTGAAAATAAAAATAAAAATATAAGCCTTCTTGCCCCAAACCCATCCAAGGGCGGATCCAGGGGGGGGGGGGGGGGCCAAAGGGGGCCATGGCCCCCCCAAAACAAAACCTATTTTTTTTTTTTTTTTGGTGACATCGCAATATAGGCAGGCAATGAGTACACCACCATCTTTTCCTCAAAAAAACATTGGTTAAAGTGGTCAGAAATTGCCTCAGATCGCACCACAGAGCATCTAGAATCCGAAAATTTGGTTCCGGATTCGTCATTGGGAGAGTTCATACCCTATACATTGTACACATCTCTTAAAAATGACCACTAGGCCTAATTACAATGTAGCACTTAACAAGTATTTACACACACTAGATGGAAGTTTTTACAATTTTTTTTCGCCGGGGGAAAATTGCCATGTAGAATTGATAGCTAATGAAATTGCGATTTCTGGGACAAAATTGGAATCGTTTCCAAAAATGTTGCAGTCACCCAATCCAAATGCACTGATGTGCTCTCGACATGTCCACATGTGTAAAAGAAAGTGTGCAACATTGATGTCTGTGTGAAGTTCAAGGATTGTGTCCAACAGCAAAAACATGTTTGTTGGGAAGTGATGGATTTGGAGACGTAATCCCTCGTTTCCCTCGGCAGGAAATGTGCAAAAACCGCAACGGAACCGCACTGGCACCATACACACGTGTGGATATCATGGTCTCTATCACGGGCCAGATTGGGGAAAAATGAAAAAACCACAGCATCATCGGCAGAGGGTATGTTTACAATTGCCTTAAAATACCCATTTATTTTGTTCGATAAAAAACTTGAGTTAAAACACCTTTACAGGAAATTCCGATTTCAAACGAGTTTCTTGAAAAATCTTGACACCAGGAAATAAAGCCCTTGTGAGAATAAAAATCCTGAAATCAGGAAAAATATGTTAAAAAGATTATAACTAAGGAAAAATCCGTACAAAATAATCCTGAAATCAGGAAAACTCTTGTTAAAAAGAATCTTGAAATCAGGAAAAATACTTATAAAAAAAATCCTTAAATTAAATAAATCCTGAAATTAGGAAAAATCCTTATTAAAAAAAATCCTGAAATCAGCCGAAATCCTTATAAAAAATTCTGAAATCAGAAAAAAATCTGGTAAAAAAAATACTGAAATCAGGAAAAATCTGACAAATCTCCCTTTGCTCTTTGGAAAGCGAAAAATCAAATTTGAAGTTTCCCTGCGCTTTCAAACACATGTTTAGTGTATGATGTCTACGCTTGGTGCGGCAATTGTAGGGGGCGCTGTTTACTCTGCTCACAAAAATCTGCGAAAGGAAAGTCCTTGAATCTTGTATACTGTTTGTGGATGTATCAACTCAGGCTTGGAAGTTTATGTAATTTTGTTCAACTGTGTTTCATTTCAAAACCAATTCTATACATTATGTTCAACATATTGTACATGTACCGGGTAGAAATGTATAGGGGCCTACATGTAGGTATTACTTCGTATGTAACTGGACTACATGTACATGTATGTATCAAACAAACCCAATACTATTCTACAGGAATCAGATCCTGGTTTTAAAAGTTCTTACTTGTGATTGTTCAGCACAGCGTGGTGCAGTGGTGTATACCCAGAACTGTCTTGGCAGTTTGGAGCCACACTTCGTCTGAAACTGAGAGGAAAGGGGGAAAAATAAAAAGAAAATTCATATTTCCAAATCTTACACTCAATTTCGTACATGTACATTTTGTATCAAATGAGACTTGCGGTGAGTGTAATTTGTTGGCGTGAACAATTAAACATTAATGGAAACATTAAAATTTACAGTACTGGAACAGACGACTTAAACATGTTAAAGGGAATGAACATCATTGGCTTTTGCTCTAATTTTCAGAAATGAACTATTTGAGGGCTTAGTATAACAGATCAAATATTGTTACACTGACATTTTTGAGGTTTTGTGTTCGAAAAGGTTGGAAAAACCAAGGAAAAACAAAAATGTTCAAGTAGTCTGGTTCCCTGACTCCACAAAAGATAAAATGGATCAATTTATAGATGATGGAAAATGGTAAGGCAAGGGAACCAGTCTAGCTGGCCTGCACCCGTTCATGAACATGTAACCAATAGCAAACAAAATTTGGACTGAAAAAATGGTAAATTTGGAGCAATAGTTGAAAAATAGTTAGGTTTTTCCAACGCTGGTCGGCCGACCACCGTTGGAAATGTATACAAAAATACCATTTTCTTGAAAATGACTTCACACCAGGTGCCATTATTTTACAAGATGCTTGTGATTGTCATTTACCAACATTCTAGTAAGGTATTTCGTAAAAACTTGGTAGTTTTATTTTTCGATGTTTGCATATGTTGTATTAAAGGGACTATAACCTTCTACACTGTATTTTGTGTACCGGTACCTTCCAAAAGTCTCCAAAAGTCTCTTTGCAAAATGGACAATTTTGCAGGATTGAGGCTTTAATGGCAAAATGTGTGGCAGATTTCGGAGGATGCATTGTGTCAAGGTCTTGGGCCGGACCTTGTGTTGATTAAATGCTCAGCCGTGCATAAGGCCTAGATTACATTCTAAATACTTGAAATCCTCTAGTAATCTGCACTGCTCCAGGATGTCACTGGCTCTGTCTCAATATACTGACAGTGAATGCTGGAGGATTTTGCGGGATTGAGGCAGTGGTCAGCGCTCCAAGGACCACATTCAAGAAAGAACGGAGGATTTTGCAGGATTGAGGCTACTGTATGCAATTTTTATATGAAGGCAGTTGGAGGATTTTGCAGATTGAGGTTGCATCCTAGCAAAAATGCCTAGGGAGTTAGGGTAAAAAAAAAAAATCAATTCCATTATTAGGAGCTAATCCAAAAATGTACTGTTTTACTTATTTGGCAATATTTATTTCCTTACTGTTAAACAAATATTTAAAAGTTATTGTGGACAAGCTTCATGTGTGCAAGATCTTTTGTAACTGGAAGTTCATAACCTCAATTAAAATATATTAAGAACCCTAACCACCCTGAATCCTCCAAAATCCTTTTTGCAAATTGGAGGAATTTGCAGGATTGAGGTTACATGGCAAAAGTGCGTTGCTGATTTCGGAGTACGCACTGTGTCAAGGTCTTGGGCCGGACCTTGTGTTATTAATGCTCAGCCGTGCATAAATTTAGTCCTTGATTATACTTGACATCCTCCGCACTGCTCCAGGATGTCACTGCCTCTGCCTCAGCCTATTGACAGACGTAGCCAGAGGATTTTGCAGGATTCAGGCAGTGGTCATCCCTCCATGAACCATATTCAAGAAATAGCGGAGGAATTTGCAGGATTGAGGCTATATGCTATTTTTCCATGAGGCCAATTGGAGGATTTTGCAGGATTGAGGCTACATCCTAGCAAAAATGCCTAGGGAGTTAGGGTTAATCAATCCTAAAAAATAGATATTCCATATAAAACTATTATTTGTTTTTGAGAAAAATAAAGAAACCTTTACATACGTAGTGCCGTTGTACAAACGAGGTACCTTTTTTGTGTCTTGCAAAAGAAAAATGGCGGGAAAAAAAAATGGAATTTCTCAAATGCTTGTGTCAATCCTGAATCATATGGTACAGTTTGTTTGTCTGCACAACTGTTCATATGTGACCCGCTCCGCAAAAATGAGTCTGTTGTGGCAAAACTGACATTTTGAGTTAACTACATTAATAAAATGGGAATGAAATAAGCTTTCATTTGGTATATCACGGACCTCTCTAGGACATTTGGTTGCATTGTTGTGCTTGTTTCATTCTGTCAAGTTTTTGCAAAGCTAGAAGTGTCTCAATGTAGAAAAAAGGCTTTGAAAAATGACAAATACACTGTAACTAACCAAGAAAAGCACCAAAGATTCATAATTTTTTTTCTTTTTCTTACAATATTTACATTTTTGTGTAAGATGTTTGAACTAAAACTATCAAACAACCAAAATAAAACAAAAACAAAAAATCCAAATTTTGAGCAAATTTTTACTGTTTCCATTTCAAAATGGCAAAAGCTTGAATTCAAATTATGCGACATCAGACTCATTTTTGCAGAGCGGGTCACATATGTAATAGGCAGTTTACTGAAGAGCTGTGTGTTTACGCGCATAGCTGACAGCTCGCTGTTGAAAGAACATTCGCAAACTGGCCCCAGAAGATTTCAAGGCTCAGCACGCCAAAATTCCGCTAATAAGCGACTCGTGCTGTGTGCACTAAGGCATTACCACGGACAGTAAACTTGTGTGTGCTCTACTACCGATGGAGGTGTCAAGCACCGGCTATAACCAAAATGATCATACTTCAATTGACCTTGTGTGACATGCCCCAAGGCTTTGGGGGTCGCTTTCGTTTCATTATGCACTTCCAGACATATTTGTGGTCGTGTGTGTTCAGGAGTTATTGGAATCGATGACTGTCCCATTTGTTACTTGTAATGTGTTACATGTACATTCACCGTGTGGACTTCCGAACAAAAGATGTCCACATAAACCAGGTAGCAACGACGTACATAGTTTGGAATTGCCCACGTCCACACAGTGTTTCCCCCCTCTCGAAAACAGGTTTAGAGGGATTTTTGGGTTAGGTTTACATGTATCTGTGGCAAAATGAAGGAAACACTAAAAAATTGGGTTGAAAGAGTTTTCACAGTGTGAGCAAAACAAATTTTTTTTACAGGCTTTTCTTATATATATATTTATATTTTTAGATTTTTTTTAATGACCCTGAGTAATGTTAGTAACTTGTAACATCATAAAATAAATCAAATCTTTTCCCTATAGGCCTAATTCAGAAAGTAATACATACACAAAATTTTATTTTTTACCAAATCTGAATGTTTTTAATCATAAATTGCAAAAATCAGTTTTTACCCGAAATATGTATTTTTTTCAATTTCGTTTTTTGAACTGAATTCCCCATTTAATTGAGGTCTGGAAAAAGTACCAAAAAGGTTTAATATGTAAATATTTATTTTGACATTTTTTGCTCTCCCATGGAGAATTACCCACAAATGTACACGAAAACAAAGTGAATGTCCACACTAGGTATGTAACATTGCACAAGGTACCGGTATGCACATATTTTTATTGAGCAAGTACATTTTTTTTAATTTTATAATTTTAAATACCGGTACATGTTGAATGCAAGTTTTCACATTTTACCTCTAGGCATTTTTGCTAGAATGCAATCTGAATCTTGCAAGATCCACCAACTGATTCCATGCAAAACTTGCATACAGCCATAATCACTGTAAAATCCTCCGTTATTTCTTGAATGTGGTCCTTGGAGGGGTGACCACTGCCTCAATCCTGCAAAATCCTCCAGCAATCACTGTTAATATGTTGGGCAGAGCCAGTGACATCCTGGAGCAGTGCGGAGGATTTTAAGTGTAGCCCTAGATTTATGCACAGCTGAACATAAACAACACAAGGTCCAGCCCAAGACCTTGACAGAAGGTGCATCCTCCAAAAATAGCCACACAATTTTGCCGTACATGTATGTACGTGTAGCCTTAATCCTGCAAAATGCTCCATTTTGTAAAGAGGATAAATTTTTGGGAAGTTTAGGGTTAAGCTAACTTCACTGCTAAAAGACCCCAATGTTTGTAAATTTCTCAATTAATTTTTGTCTTCAATTGAACACTTAACCATTTTCATTTGATCATGGTGTTTTTGACGGGGAAAAATAATTAAACATGTCAGCCACCTTTGGAGAAAAAAAATGGCAATCCAAAATAGAAATGACAATTGGTTCAAACTTTTCCAACACTCTCAGGATAAGCTGTTTTCAACAAATTTTCAAAGTTAAAATCAATGGAATTTTCTTTTCCAGTGCCCTGAGTGAAAAATGTAGCGATGTTAGATTATATTGGAAAATTAAACAGAAACATTTCTTTCCTCTTTAAATACTGATCATTTCTATTGTATCAAAGGTTCTAGCTTTATTTGTAAAAAAATACTTGTGATATTAAAATAATCTCAGAAACAATTTCTTGGTGTCAACAGACTTTTACATGTCACCTATCACGGTCGAATAGCGTCAACGCAGCTTGTGAAATATTGTCCAATTAAATACAAATGGACGCGAAGCGCACAAAATCTGAGACAAATAAAACTTAGCGTACAACATTTCGTAGGGTTTTCTAAGGGGCAAACAGCGATAGGTCAATTGACACCCACAATTTTTGGCCGCATAAAAAAATTGGGTTTTTGTTTGGGAGGGGAGGGAGGGGGGAATATTTTTACGTTGGTGGTGCCACTTAGCTTACACCCCTATTAATACTCCTCGAAAATATACAACATAGGCCTACATATCACCAAGGTCAAATCGTGGGACTCAAAAACAAAAACCTGTGGGGGAATGTAATTTAGGCCTAATACATGTGGAAAAAAAATAGAAATGGAAAAAACAGACACTAGTTTGGTCTGTCTTATAACTTTAATGTGGAATTTGTTTCCTTAAGTTAGGAACCGGGCCCTACACGATCGCCACTATTTTTTCCTTTCAGTGACCTATCAGCCATCAGAAAGTGATGTCTTTAAAAGTCAAATTTAGCAGGGAAAATATTGGAGTATTTACTGAGAAAACACTTAGGCCTAGACATTTTCAGACCAGTGATGGCCAGATATGGGAATCTTTCCGGTAGGCCCTATGCCATGTATGCCCTCTTCTTGAAGTTGAAGAATAATTAACAATCACATAATTTTTGACAAGAATTAATTTCACACTTTCATTTTACACTTTCTTTGACAAAGCACTTTCACAGCTGTAACTGTAAGCCCAACAATATGTCAATGACTTCTTTTACTTCATAACAACGGAAGTCAAAAACTTAAGGCAGTGGATATTTTGCCGGAGACGGCAAACCTTCAGTAAACGTTAGTTTGCTGGATATGCACTGAACATGCGCAGTTACATGTACTGTTTTTTTGTACTTAAACATTTTCCGGTGACAAATTTTAGTCTGGCTCCATGCCAATATTATCGTTGTATTTTTGTATAAATTTACAAGATGGGGATCAGACCATTTTATAATTTCGGACTTTATTTCCCTTTAAAAAAATCCTCCAGAGCCACAAATCTGAAAAAGAAAAAGTAATACTCTGCAATAAAATGTTTTGTCGAGACATATTAAAATAATAAAAGAAGAATATTCTTATTTATTTGGGGATGGGAAAAAAACCCCTTAAAATTGTGGCGGGGATCTAGATACGAACTCGGGACATCCCACTCACTAGAGCCGGCATTGCTTAACCACTGCACCGACTGTGCTACACAACTTTAGTGGGAATTTAATACTTGTTATAAATTCAGCCCTATCTTAAAAAGTACAGCGCCCTCTGTTGATATGGATTGCCGCCGGCAAACCTTTAGTAAACGTTAGTTTGCCGGCGTTACCACCGGCAAAATATCCACTACCAAAAATTAATAATTTCCATAGCCTACAACGTGCAATACGTACCCAATGGCTATCGCCTGCGACAGCGCATTTTTCGGTCGAGCCGACAGTATTTTCTGGATGGTCACCATGTTCCCCGTCCTGGCAGCATCCAAAAGATCTTGATCCTTCCCCATTTTGTTCCCCAAATACAATTTTCCAAACGAAATAAAAAACAGACTCGCAAAAATCCGGCCAAAATAAAAATCCGGAAGACAAACTAGTGACTTTCACATTGTCGCCATTGCATAGTTTAATACCCACAATGCAACACTGGTGGAAGTCAAAAGGCCAGACATGTTTAAAAAGTTGTTGCCGTGATCCCAAGATTTGCAAAGAAAGTTCGCCTAATTGAATGAGAATTAACAATAATTATTGAAAAACATATTTATTTCCCTTCTCTCGTCTGAAGTTAATTGCTTGCTAGCTGCAGGGTGATTTTTTAAGGACTAAAAGTCTATCGGGGAAGTCGGACTTTGCAATCCGAGATTACTCTTGATGACAGATGCAATTATTTTACTTGTTGCACTCAAATGAGGGCGCACTGTCATTAGGCTGATCACGACATAATCTCGCCGAGGAAATCGTCCTCGATGCATTTGATTCACAGTCAAGAAAGATTGGCTTTTCAACTTGGAATATTTCTTGTTGCTGTCATCGGTTGTTCTTCTATTACCTCTCCTATGAATGATATCGATACCGTATTAAAGGCAATCCGTCAGGCCCCCATGCAGGGGCGTCAATCGCTTCCCAAAAGTGAGGGTGGGGGATACCTTGATAAGATCCAATCAATGCAATGCGCGAAGCCCTTACGGCTGAAGGGCCCCGAAAAAAATTTGATTTTTGATGCTCTGTGGTGCGATCTGAGGCAATTTCTGACCAATTTTAACCCATATTTTATTAGCAAAAGATACATTGTAGTACATAATCCATAGGCGTTGCCAGCGGGGGGGGGGGGGGGGGGGGGGCTGAACAAGTGGCCTTTTGAAAAAGAAGTCGTGCCCTTTTTGTGACATCGGCCTTTGCTTCCAAGCATGTATCGCCCTGAAAAGCAGCATCATATTTCCCTTTAGTGTGCATAATCGTCGGTTTTAAACAGCACCCTCATCGACAGATGGTACCTGACACCCCCCCCACCCCCACCCTTGCTTTTTGATTTTACGGAGGCCAAGTGTCCGGAGAAAAAAATGTGTCTACATTTCGCCACGGATGTGCAAGTGCCCTTTTCACAAAATTTTACCCCCCCCCAATCAAAATGACTGTGCTACGCCCCTGTAATCGGTCCCTGTAAATGAGACACACGAGTTCAAAAGTCTGGGGGGGGGGGGGGAGATTTTATATGGTGTCCCCCATCCTTCAAAAAAGTGGGGGGGGGGGGGGGCATGCCCCCTGTTCTATTCAGGATGTACGATCGACGCCCATGCCCCCATCATATGGTGTAGTACAGCAGGTCATGATACCCAATTGGTATCGAAGTCCTATATCATTTCGTACCTTCGCCATTGACTTTCAGTTAGGACTATTTACTGTCACACGCAAGTCAATCAAGTTTTATCATCAATGAAACTGATTGAAAGTGGATTGTTCTTACATAAAACAATGAATGCTTTTCGTTTTATCAGTTTATTTAGCTACTTATTATACACCAACGCTGCAGTGCAGTGTACAAACAGTGTTTAAAAAGACTATAATTTCATCACTAGTGATTTTATTATCATATTCCATCAAGTTCGTTTACCATGAAAGACATTAAAGGGCCATTCTAATGTATTTTTTTATGCAATTCTTGAAAATGCACGTTTGTGTCCCATTTATTTTAAGCAAATGTTAAATGTCCAGCACTTGCCATTCTCAAGGGGATTTTGGTGCCTTTTTGGTTTTTATGCTAATGTGAATTTGCATATTAATGAGCAAAGTTGTGATGTCATTTCAGACAGGAACCTGAATGTTACAGCTACTTCTGTACCAACTGTTGCCAGAATTTGGGATACTTCGGTGTAGGTTTATTTCCTTTGGGGATTCATTGGTGTGCCAGTAGGCCTACACGACATTAGGCGCTAGCAATGAGCAATTTTTTTTCTCGCAAATGTTTTCAATGAGCTAATTTTTGGGTTTACAGTTTTAAACTGAACAGTGTCTTCCTGAAATGACATCACAACAACAGCGCCCTCAACTGTCCAGGAAAGCAAGGTAAATTTTAAATGTTCAAAGAAGTGTTTTTTTCCCCCAATAAATTACCAAAAAGGGATGTTAAATAGTTTTCACACATTTCAGAGGATTAGAAACTTTCACAAAATGTGGTCCTAAGAACAGTTCATTGCATGAACCCTCTAAATGAACGTTACATGGAACAATTAATGTTAATCCTATACTATTTTTAGCTTTGATAACAAGACAGGCGTGACCGAATTACTTGGCTATGACTTGAAATAACACACGAGTCTCAGTGGCTGTAGCCGTTACCATATAGGCTCGTGTGTAAATTCAAGCCCAGCCAAATCAATCGGACACGACAAAAAACCAAGCCTGCATCCTAATTGTCCATAAAGAGAAACCAAACTGTCCTCTGACCCGGTCCCTCCCCACCCGGAGTTTAAAATGAGGCAGTTTTGGTATCCTCGAGACACGTAGCATTAATGCAACCGAAAGTGTAAACATTGTATAGCAGTTACACATCAATATACGCTTATCTGACCAATACAGTAAAGAAAAATACATACAGGTATATATAACAGATTAAAATATACGGTTTACACTAAAGAAGTTTAGTAAATGGGTTAGTAAGTAGCCCAAATGTTGGTCAAATTACTAACTTTCTACAGTCTATGCTAGTCTATGTATTAGACCACGGCGAATGCCATGGTCTAATATGCGCGAACAGATTTGCTGATTAATTGGGCAAGACCCACCTCTTGACTTCCTAGATTTTGACCAATCAGCAGGCACTTTCTATAGGTCTATCGGGTCTTCGGTCATTCATCTGTTGCGCGTCATAGACATGGATTTAAAAAAAATGTCACGGCGCGCGGCGCTCGGTACAAATGCGCTCCCGGCTGTTGTTGTATTACAAAACGCTGCATTCGAATTGACCAATCACAGCGTTAGTCCTGATTTTGGGATGAAGTGACGTCACGATTTAGTAAAGTCGATTCCGATTGGCTGGCGCGCGGCTTGCATAAATCTGCATGCTTTGACATATCAGACGTTAGACAGGAGATGGCTCCGTGGATAACGGGTGATACTCAGACTAACTATACGGGCGTCGCTGGACTATTTTGAAGGGGGGGGGGGGGAGGTGCCATCATGAAATTTGCCGACGGACCGTCACACAAAATGAGTGTGATTGATAATTCCCGCCCAAAATGATCCCTTTTACTCCATTTCCAATTTCCTTCACAAAATATAAATGGTTAATTTTATTGATTACTTTGAATGGATTTGATTTTTCAGTGGGATAAGTTTAACTTCAAAAGTAAATCGTCAACATTTTGCCCTAATAAATATTGAAAAGTTTTCGACATCATTATTTTGCTCGTCGCAAAAAACTGCGTGTACACGCTCAGTAAAACTTGTTCAGGTCCGTTCGCTGATCCCAGAATGGAGCGGGGGGGGGGGGGGTCTTTAAAGGGAATATACAACATTTGCAAACATCGAAAAATAAAACTACCAAGTTTTTACGTAATACCTTACTAGGATGTTGGTAAATGACAGTCTAAATCTTTCTGTAAAACTATGGCACCTGGTGTGAAGTCATTTTCAAGAAAATTGTATTTTTGTATACATTTCAAACGGTGTGGTCGGCCGACCACCGTTGGAAAAAACCTTACTATTTTTCAACTACTGCTCCAACTATACACTTTTTTCAGTCCAAATTTGGTTTGCTATTGGTTACATGTTCATGAACGGGTGCAGACCAGCTACACTGGTTCCCTTACCTTACAATTTTCCGGCATTTATAAATTGATCCATTTTATCTTTAGTGGAGTCAAGGAACCAGACTACTTGAACATTTTTGTTTTTCTTAGTTTTTCCAGCATTTTTGAACACAAAACTTCAAACATGTCAGTGTAACAATATTTGATCTATTATACTAACTCCTCAAATAGTTCATTTCTGAAAATTACAGCAAAAGCCAATGATGTACATTCCCTTTAAATCCTAAATTTGAACTTTTTATATGCGGATGCGGATCCATAATTTGAGTTGTCACTATAAGCATCAGATCAATTCTTAACTGACTGCGAGCGAGCACGTGCTTGTGTTTTGCACAGCTGTAGCTGTCGACCGCCGTATATGACGCACCTCTCGTGCATGGCAGCTCTGCCCACATGACAGAATGTACAATCTTTTGCGGATTCCGGATTTTAGCTTCGCGGGGTTTTGAGCAGCGGTATTAATTATTTACATTCTCCATTTTTCTTCTTCCCTCTTCCTTTCCCTTTCCTTCTCCATTCTTTATTTTCTATTTTGCCGACAAAACTGACTAATGGGGGGGGGGGGGGGGGACCCACCCCGGCCCCTGTAGCGACGCCCGTGTCTTTAGACAAATTATCCCAACAGTCGTTCAATAATTTCTACCCGAATTAACCATCAATAAAATAAATTCACACAAATGTTGGGCAAATAGCATTGTGTAACAACACATTCTTCACCTAAATAAAATGACACACTAATCGAAAGTAGTAATTATTCATGTCGTGATGTTACAATATTCACATCCGATTTTCGTGAGATGAATTTTTTTGGGGGATGTGGTACCAACGGAGATTTTGCATTTCAAATCCAATTTAAAATCACTTGTTAATGATCGGATTCATGGTCCTTTTGGTAAGAGGTGTAATGTTCGGAATGAGCGTGCGAAACCGGTTTAAACCAATCTAGTACAGTTTGATATTCGTAATCCTAACATGCAACTTGTGCATGCAGCCCGTGCCAGCCAATCGGGGTCGACTTTAGAAGTTTGACGTCATTTGGATCAGAAATGGGGAGTAATACTGTTGATTGGTCAATATGGATGCCATGTTTGTGTAATAGACATAGTAATAGACCAGTTCCTAATAAATTCAAATTCATGCACATGCGCATAAAATTAATAGGCCCGAAGGGTGCACAGCACCAAAAACTTTTAAATTAGTGCGCGCGAGCTCATTCATATTTTGTGATCCCATGGGTAATTTTGAATAAGAGATCCTTGTTTATGCGGCTTATAGTATTAAAATAGAACATTTCTGGAGTTCAAGCATTTGTGACTTGAACTCCGCCGATTTGGAAGCCGGGCTTCCAACTTGGGAATTTCGTTCACAAAAAGCCTTATTTTTTTCGCAATGCCGATAAGTATCGCATTTTGAATATTGCCCCCCAAAAGGCAATCAGCCTACTTATTGAGAAAAAAAAGTGTTAATGTAAAAAACCGCAAGAGAGTTGCAAATTAACACTATCGCTCTATTTCGCAATTTTATTTCGCAGAATTACTGCGTTATTTCGCCAAACTAGTGCATTAGTTTTTTGCTTTTAAATTTGACTTTGAAATATTGCTTTCGTCTTATTTAAAGAAGTGCTTGCACTTGACGAGAATGTTGCACTTTTTGCCGCTACCATCGCAGCGTGATTTTTGCGTGGGGCGGCGGCCTGGGCTTGTACGCAAAATCTCCGGTCAACGTTACCGTCCGTTACACGGTGAAATCATTTGTGCCGGCGTGGATGGCGCCCCGAAGCACACGTTTTTTTTTCTTGGCACTCGTGCGGAAAGGAGCCCTGCTGATTGTTTTTATTTTGTACCTTCAAAACCCGCTTAGACACGAAAGTAACACCTATGACGATTTCAGGGACTTTTCTGGACATATCCTAGAGAAATGGAGAGAAAATGACAAAACTGTTTTGACCCCTGTACATTTTCAATGGGACGCTTTCGCTTTTTGCTCTGGGGCCCATTTATGCGCATGCGTGCATGCATTTGAATTGATTAGGGAACTTGTCTATACAACAACAGGTTACCGAAGACCCGATAAAGAAGGCGCCCGCTGGATGGTCAGAATCTTGAGGTCAAGACGCAGTCTTGTTTTGCATAATTAATCGCCGAATCTGCTCGCGTATCATAGACCCTTGCTGAGTGTGCAAAGGGATGTTCTATAGACTTCAGTCGGTAAGTCCTACTAAATAAACTGTATAACGGTAACAGCAAGCTCATGCAATTATTGGTCAATTATGTACTTAAAAATATCACAATAAATAACAATCTTTTGGATTAACCCTAAAAGGGCCGGATTTTGACCATCTCTAAGCCGGGGGGGGGGGGGGGGTAGTCGAGTAGTTTTTCCCGAGTACCGAGTACTACCGAGTACTTAGGTTGCCGAGTACGAGTACTTGTACCTCCAAGTACAAGAGCAGGTCTCCGAGTACGAGTACTTGTACTTCCGACTACGAGTACAAGTACAAGTACTTCTATTTCCAAATACGGCCTACGGCAAATTGTTCGTTGTGCGTAATTGGCTCAGGCCCAGTCAGACCGATATACAGACCCACTCACGGCTGGCTGTAATGTGTTTGCCCGGACGTGCACAGAAGAAAATCAGGAAACGATTTCTCCACAAGTCAATCAACCATTCATACTGAAAGTATCGATAAAATAAGGCCGTGGTATATAGTCATGCTATACCATTCCCCCCCAGTACTGCTATTCGAGTACGAGTATTTTGATGACCGAGTACAATTTCGACATTTTGAGTACGAGTACTTTGCTGCCCAAGTACGAGTACCGTCATTTCGAGAACAAGTACTTTGACATTCGAGTACGACTACGAGTACTTCAAAAAAGTGTTCGAGTAATACTCGAGTATGAGTACCGAGTACGAGTACTTCAACACTGATCAAAAGATGCGCAATGCTCGATGCTAAAAAGTCATAATAGCTCGGGTCGCGAAATTTTTTTTTTAAAGCTATCGCGGGAAAAGTTGATGGGGGGGGGGGGGCAGATTCCGCCCCGGCCCTTTAAGGCCGAGCGAAAACATTAATCGCTATTCCTAAAACTATTCACCACAGAAAAGAAAAAAAAAACTGAGCTGATATGTTTTACAACCAAATACGACTTGTAAATATGCCTTTCAGTTTGTAAAGTTAAAATATATTTTATTTCGATGAGTGCCTTTTCGGTAAGAATGACACGCGAAACATCTATTTAAAGAACATTTCGTCCGACCAAATATCTAATTTACAATCACAAGGTACACTGATCCACATGCCACATGTTTTGTTACTTTGAAACACATTCTATAACGAAATGTCATTGCTGCCGAATAATTTGATTAAAAATTGTAGGCCGACAGTTGTATCTATTCACGGTGACATCCAAGCAGCTCCAATCGCAGGCCAACGCCTTTATGCCACTCAGTAGGCTCAATGCGCACTACCGCGGCCACCACACTCTCATCAAACAGGTTAGTGATCGGGGTATCGCCATCAGTGTTACCGATGAACTCCTGAAACGAAAACGTGCAATCAACTCTCGTAAAATGAATCGCGTAACAAATATCACGTTTCCTAGTAAAACTATCCAATTATAGCAGGAAATCATATTAGACAGCATTTCTTCGACGGCAGAATTCGAAAGAATATAGGCCTAATGCAAAGGGCAAGTTCAGGCGCGAAATATGGATAACCAAAGTTCAAGTATAACATCGCTCGAATGAAGGATGATTGTTCAATTCTATTTGACTATTTCCAACCGGAGTGTGGGGCACGGTTGCATCGCTGGTTACCACTAACTGCGCGAAACCGTTACCGTAGGGCGAAAAATCCCCGCTTAGGGTAGCAAAACCATTCCGTGCTTACTGCTTTCAGTAATATTTCACGTGTTAGCGAGGCGATTTGGCTGGTGTGCATGCGTACATCCCGTAAAAGGATTCTGTGCGTACCGGGTTTATAGCGCTGTTAGCACAGAATGGTGCAGAGCCATGAAATGGGGCCCAGGACCAAATTTCGTGCCTCTGCTTAACAGTTAGCAGAACGTTGTGGTTACTATAGCAGAAAATTGTGCTAACCTTATTCACGGTGTGAATCTGCTAAGTACAGGTAAACGGATGCGCGCGCATGGAGATTTTTATTGTTACGTACTAAGTTAAGCAAAATGTTTCCTCTGAGGTAAGCGTGCCTTTTGTTGTGCTTACTTTTTATCACGCTCTGTTATCATAAAATCGTGTGCTTATAGGCCTGTCACACTGTCACGCTCTGGCATGGAGTTCCGTACCGCGACCAAGAAAACTGACTAAAACGCAGTGGGAACGCTGATGACGGCGTGGGGACTCATTGATACTAGTTGAGGACTTAAGAGAGATTCCAAGGACTTAGCTGAACGCCAAACTACCACGTTCGTTTTGGACCGTGTGCACAAAACAAACGCCGCCTCGACGTTCTGACCAGAACGCGGTAATGACTCTGTGTGAACCATGGATATAGAATAAAAAAGACTAGGTCGGCAGTGCGTACAGACGCGCGTTCTTGCGTACAGAGGCGGCGCCATTTTTTCGTTTCTAATTCGTTTATGGGCAATCGCTTTCATCGTTTGGTCATTCCAGTTTATAAGATGTTTTAATTGATATATTTTCCTATTTTGCTACGAGGTTCATTTTCCCTAAAAAATCTCGGTAACTGTAAAATTTACAATGCAACAAACTGATATGAGGGATACAATATGTACCAAAATATTGAGATGAAAAGGGCTATAGATAATTTCGTTTCTACTTGTGTAAACGTTTGAAGGGGGCTTCTTTTAACGTTGACGATTTTTTGACGTGCAAGACATCGGGTCATGTATGTTTGGCAATGGTTGTACTATCGGAAACACTTCTCTTTTGGTAATTTCTGAAATGTTTTCTTGCGTATGTCTTGACCGAACACGAATTTACAGGGCACATGCAAAGTAATTTTTCAATGCAAACCTTGAATACACATCTTTGTGTCACATTTAACCTTAATTGTAAGTTTAATTTTTCCATTTTGAAGGGTGTTTTTTGTGCCTTCTCCGTTTTTATGCTGATGCAAAGTTCCATATTCATAAGCAAAACTTCGATGTCATTCCGGGCAGATTATTGTTACATGGCTATCTCAGCATAAGAAGTTGCTAGAATTTTTGATATTTTGCTATCATAAATTTCTTTTCTCTGATGATTCTTTGTTGTGTCAGTACATGTCAGTAAGCTAATGAGCAATCCTTTCTCACAAATGGTTTCAATAATACATTTTGGGTGAATAATTTGAAAGAAAACTGCTCAACTGAACTGAACATCACAGCAACAGCGGGCTCAGTAGTTCGGAAAAGCATGGAAACTTGTAAATGTTAAAGACGTGCACTTTTGCAATAAAACTAACCAACAAAGGATGTCAAAATAGTTTGTATACATTTCAGAGTAGTAGAAAGTTGCGCAAAATGTATTCCTGAGAAAAATTCATTGCACGGCCATCTAATTTAGAAAGAGAGATGTGCATTTACGGATTGAAGACATCAGATATAATTTACGCCGAGATAATTCAGAATTTTACATGTAGGAAGTCTTAAACATGCTGGACAAAATGTGAAATATATTTGCCCATTAATGAAAATAAATGCCCGATCAAACCCCTTACTACTGGTTCAGACGTAATTGAATGAACAACGTGATATTTTTAATTGGAATACATCTTTTACAGGGACGAGTGAATCTAAAATGCGATACATCGCTCGGATAGTGAAATCGAATGATTCTTTTTGATTGTTGAATGACGATCTGCGCGTGATCTTTAAATTGCAATCGAAATGGAATTAGTCAAATGAAATGAAAACTTGGTGAAATTGGCCGGGAAAACCTATGTATGATTTTTTTCCATCCCCCCCCCATTTTGGCCATATTGGCCGCCATCTTAGCCGCCATCATGCATTTGAAGCATGATAGCAAAAAAAAAAGATACCAGAAATGAATTTGTGAGGGTACAAACATAATTTCTAACTAACAATTTCACTTATGATTTTATCATATTATTAGGTTTTTCCATGTTTTACCAGTATGACAGCCATATTAGCCACCAAATTGGCCGCCATCTCGAATTTGAAGCATGATAGAAAAAAAAAGGATACCAGATATGAGTTTTCGAGGATCTAAAACATGCAACTAACCATTTTATTTATGCTTTTATCACATTATTTGGCTGATATATGTCTTTTTTCCCCAGTTTTTACCAATTGTGGCGGCCATGTTGACCGCCATCTTGGATATCTCCTTCGCATCGGATTTTTTGTTACTGTTAACATCCAAAATGTATTTTAAGATCCTACATATAAAATGCACCCCCAAAATGGGTGAAAGTTAGTTCTGGGGGCGGGGGGGGGGGGGGGGGAGTGCACGTATGGTCCCCCATACATACTCAACTATAACTCGTGGATCCGGGAACGCGTATTCGTGGGAACAAGTTGGTAATTCGTGCGAACGAATTAGTAATATGTGCGAACGAAATGGCAATTCGTGGGAACGAATTAGCAATTCGTGGGAACGAAGTAGCAATTAGTGCGAACGAAACAGCAATTCGTGCGAACGAAACAGCAATTCGTGGGAACGAATTAGCAATTCGTGCGAACGATTTAGCAATTCGTGCGAACGAGTTAGCAATTCGTGGGAACGAATTAGCAATTTGTGCGAACGAAATAGCAATTCGTGCGAACGAATTACCAATTCGTACGAACGAAATAGCAATTCGTGCGAACGAAATAGCAATTCGTGCGAACGAAATAGCAATTCATGCGAACGAGTTAGCAATAATTCGTGGGAACGAATTAGCAAATTCCCAAAAAGAAAATTCCACCCTGTCCCTTCCTGGGCTTCATACCACATGGATACTGCGTCTTCATGGCGTTTTGTTACATTTTTAAGAATTTCAACAACGCAATATGAACGCCATGCATGGACGTGACAGTGTGACAGCGCCTTTAGCAGCGCCATGAAATTGGGCCCTGTCTTTGGCCATCGTTTGCTAGCAGTGCCCAGGCATACGTTACGTCACAAATCAACCATTCGTAGACTTATGGTCCTCGCCGGAACTTGCTCTAGATTGTGTCGGTGATACCAGCACTCAATTTGAAGTTCAAATATGAAATTATACTTAATCGTCAAATACCCAAAACAAAAATTAGAAACAAATTTAGGTTTTCTTTTTATTTCACATAGCTATCTGTTACAGATTAAGTCGAATTCAGCTTATAGCGATAACATTGATACTCACCTTGATGGTTCCGTCTCCATCCATTACGTGTTCAAAGTCAGGTGAGGCCTGCTTCTTATAAGCCACCTTGTACTGCTTTACAAACAAAGTGTAGCCAGAGCCTTGTGTGGTGACCCCAGACACCACTGTGCTCTCAGCGAGGCCCACCTCGATCCAGGGATTGGCGTCGCTATGTGCACAGAGTAAAATGGGATGAGGAATGAAAGCATTACGCAAACAAACCCACTTCAGAGTAATCAGAAGGATGGGACAACTGTGTGCTATCTAGTGGTATGGTGCGTCTACGGTCAGGGAGGATTTTTTTTTGGATCCAGTTGCATTTATGCCAAAAGTACACCTACCGAATTTGTAATTCTTACTTTAATTAAAGATCGTAAACACCCCGTGAAATTATTCCGTCTGGCTTGCTGCCTTTTAGAAGACATCAAGACGTATTTGTGTTTTCCAACTATCGATTTTTTTTGGAAATAAATTAAGGTTGTTCATCGTTTTTCACTGTTTTCTCGTAAAGTGAAATATCCAGTGATCTGGAAGTTGACAGGTTAGGTTTTCAACATTCTGCTTTGGATTTTGAGAGGTGTTATTGTTGGAAACGAACAAAATGCATGAAAAGCGAATAAACCTATGTGCCTATAAAGTCACTTGTGCAATTTTTGTTTCTAATGTAACAACTCAACAGACCAACATGGTGAATTTTGTGCCATGGCAATGTAGAATACATCGAGGTGCGAGTGTGGATGGTCAGGTGTGATATTTCCCTTTGATACCTACGTCCAGGTCGCCCACCATGCACGATTGTTGTTGAGACGCGCACAAGAGGCATAATCACCGCTGGACGCCGTGATGCGACCATCGGGGATTGTCCCGTTCTCCATGCCTAGTGGACTAAGACACGTAGCTGTTGGTTGGAATACACAAACGAAATTAGAACTTAGTTATTATTGTTTAAAAGCTAATTGCCACCCTATTTGATCCTGGTCTTTTATGTTTTAGGATGGATTGCACAGTCGTGACGCCTCTTGTCACCCCATATACTCTCAAAATGTAAAAAAAGTGAAAAGCTACTCTTTTATGAGCCACATGGGGGACAACTCTTTTCGAGTGTTTTTTTCTTGACTCTTCTTTTTAGGTGGTTTTTCATTGTGGCCCATAGTGAAAACCACTATAAAGAGTGAATTAACTACCACCCCTTTCAAAGAGCCATTGGGGACACCTTCGAATGGTTTTCCACTGTTTTACATTTCAGTGCAGTTCACATTTATTTCCATTCTGCACAGGACAATTAATATATACAAGAAATAACAATATATAAGGAAATATACACTTGCCGGCACTGGTGGCACATACATGGAGGCATATTTTGGAAGCCAAATCTTGTATAGAGATGCTTTTTAATAATAACTAATTCAAGAAATACTCAGTGAAATGATGAGACATACAAATCAGACAGACACATAACAGACAAACAGAAATTGACGGATGCGACAAAACAAACTGATTACATGGACATGACATTAAATACATACGTAATCTGGTAAGAAATAATGTACATATTGCTGACGAAATGAAACAAAGATAAATAAACAGGATTGAGAATTTTTTTTAATTTTTTTTTTTTAGAACTGGCCATAAATTTAAGGTTCAAAGTAGAGAAAAAGAAGAAAGAAAAGTTCAGAAGCTATAAGTAACGTTGTGGGAGAAGGCCTAAACACAACGATGGTCACTATTGGACACTTATTGCAAATATATTAAAAAAAAAAGGGGGGATTTTGAACTGAGAAAAACTGAGAAAAAGTTGCGTCAGGATACTATATCCACACTTTCCGTGTTTTGTATTATTAATTAGGGGAAAATGCAAAATTAAACAAGCGGCAACTCGATCATTTTAGCCCGAGGTTTTACCCACATAAACCAGTTAAACCTCATAAAAACCTCACGGTAAACCTCAATTACCGTCTGTTTAGTTTTGAATATTCCCCTTACTCATGGTTTAACCCCAATGTACCCTTAAAACCTCCTGTTAAACCTCATAAAACCTCAAGGTAAACCTCGAGTTGCCGTCTGTTTAATTTTGCATTCACCCCAAGCTCATGGTTTAACCCCAATTAAGGTACCCAGTAAAACCCTGAAAACGTTGTACAACCTTGAGGTAAACCTTGCGTTACCGTCTGTTTAATTTTGCATTCAGCCCTCTCACTCATGGTTTAACCCTTAGGTACCCAGTTAAACTCTGAAAAAACGTTTACAACCTTGAGGTAAACCTTGAATTACCGTCTGTTTAAATTTGCATTCTCCCCTAGCTCATGGTTTGACCCCAACTCCCAGTTAAACCCTGGAAAACCTTATACAACATTGAGGTAAACCTCGAGTTACCGTCTGTTTAAATTTGCATTTTCCCCTTATACGAAACGCATTACTCTGCTGCATTTCAAACATCACAGGCTACTAACCTCGCGCAGCACATTTGAAGTAGGCATGAATCTCGTCAGAATCCTCGCTGAGGAAAAGCTCCTTCAGGTAGTGGGGCGCCCCCTGGCTGTATGACGAAGCAGGGATGTGCATCCCACCGAGACGAATAGCAGTGCATTCGCACGGATCTTTGTACGGTAGGAACCAACGGGGAGGGATACCAGACTGTGGGTTGTACTCCGATCCGATGAAGCAGATTTTGTGGCAGGAGACCATCACTATGTGTAAGGCAAAATGAGAAGGCATTGCGACCGGGATTAGATTGAGCAGAGGAACAAAATGCTTTCTGAAAAATTAGCGCAGAATTGTTCTGCTAGCACGTTAGCACATAATGGTGATCGTAAGCGCGGAATTCTGTGTTAGTAGCGCCATCAAATTGGGCTCAGCAGGTCTTCAGTCGTCCATATACACTTTTGACATAATTATAACTAGATGTTTTCATGCATTTGTCTTTATAACAAACTCCGGCGATCGTGAAGTGTAGGGCCCCTGTTTTGTTTTGATCAAATTAGAGTCAAAAATGTTTTTTATTGCTCAAAAATCATCTTTACAATCAAAAGCAGACTTTTCTCAATTCTAATGACACCCGTTTTGCAATTTTGAACAGATTCTTGGGGTAGAAATCACGATTTTCCTGCGCGGTTTGTGCCTTGCGATTCAGCGCGCCGTGCGTGCTCACGGTAGATCGCGCGGTGATCGCCATCTTTATTTGCGGGTTTCGGGCCGCACTGTCATCGTCATTTACCCCCCAATTTCCCCAACCCCCCCCCCAAAAAAAAAACCCCTGCCCTCTATCTATGGCATACCAAACCCAAACTCCGCAGTGTGATTGGGCGCTAAACTATTTTATATTGTCTTATCAGTTAAAAATTTGTTCATGCAGAAAAAAACCCCAGGAAAACTATGAAATTCAAACTTGTTTTGCTTGCATTTTATTTGACCAAATGCATTTAGGGAACGATAGATTCCAAGTCACATTTTGTGTTCACGTTCCAGTTTGATGATGTACACATGTCCGTGTTGCTTTCATATTTCCAGAAGTTGTCTTTACTTTATGTAGCATAACCTGCCTGAACTAAATCAGTATTAGTTATGCAAAAATTAAACTGATGACGTCATCAAAGCGGAAATAACGTGTAAATGAAATGTGACTTCAGATCTATCGATACCCAAAGACATTGACTCAAACTAGAAATTCGCGTTTGTCGTGTTACAAACACAGAATAATCGGGAAGGAAACTATTTCATTGGACATTGCTCAGCTGTGAATATTTTGAAGTCAGTACATTTGTATTTCGAAAAAGAAAACAGATCACGAAATTCAGCCTTTCCGAGGAACCATTTTCGATTTGAAAATAAAATGCAGCCTTTCAATTTGCTACATTTTAGTATACAAAATACACGTCCACGGTATTTCCGGTGTGATTACGTCATCGGTTACACTGTGGAAAGTGAATACTGATTGAGTTTATGACGCATAAAGAACTTGTGAAACATTGGAAATTAAATGGATGTTTTAGGGTGTTTACAGGATGGTGCAAAAAGAAGGAAACCCACTTTTGGCAGGAATTTTAACCTGCTTACTTAACTGATTTGAACTGGTTTTGTTTATAATATAGTGAGGGATAGCTCTTCAATCATACGTGGTGAAAAAAAGCTTTTAAAAAATCGCAAGAAAAGTGTTATTATGCTAATTTGAAAACAAGTCACCAAAATCACGATTGTCCACGTGTTAGTCAATTTTAGTGGTTTTTTTGTCTTCAAATCAAGCTCCGGAGCTCAGTCAAGCGGATGGAATAAAGCCGTCCGTGGACAAACAGGTTTGGCACATTAAATGTTATACTACCATATCTCAGGGATAAAATATGCATTTGCAATAGTTTTTTCGGTCAAATATTAAAGATCGACATTTGAATACCATTAAATTGAATTTTTGAAATATGCTCCACATGCAAGTAGGTGAAAAATGCTTTCAAAAGTGGGTTTACACCCTGTATAAAAAGCATTCAACTTCCGATTTGATGACGTCACAGTATTTGGAAGCCTAATGTCAACATTGTACCAGAAAACAATATTGGTGCTCAGTGGCGCACCCAAGGGGGGGGGGGGCCCTCAGGGGGCTTGAGCCCCCCCAAGAGGTTGTCAATTTGGTTTTTTTTGTATTTTTTTTATCCCACGATTTGACCGACGTCACCGACGTCACAATAGTCTGCCCCCCTAAAAAAAACCATTTTTGTTTCTGCGGCCAAAAATTTGGGCAAAATTGTTTGAACAAATTTGAAAAAAAAATTGTGAGCCTCCCCCCCAATCCAAATCCTGGGTGCGCCACTGTTGGTGCTACGAACATAGCCAGTAGACACACATCAAATGGTAGATTGCTTTTTAAAACTGAAAGAAAGAAAACATTTGAAAAAAAAATTGTGAGCCTCCCCCCCAATCCAAATCCTGGGTGCGCCACTGTTGGTGCTACGAACATAGCCAGTAGACACACATCAAATGGTAGATTGCTTTTTAAAACTGAAAGAAAGAAAACATTTATGTACATGTTACCCCCGGTTTGATGACGGATCAAGTAACGTCTTTGAATTGAAATAAAAGAATAGAAACTTGATTATTTTGAAATTCTCCCTACAATAACTTCTGGTCTGATGACGAATAATCATTTGCGGCTGTCCAATGAATGTCTGTTGGAACAGTTCGGCAAAATTTTAAAGTTTGTATACAGGGTGAGTAAAAAAAGGAAACCCAAATGGCAGGTCCGATTATTTAATAAGGCTCTGTATGCAGTACTTTAAAAAATAGGATATGAAAGTACAAAAATCATTCAAATCAATCATGTACTTTTAAACACAGACACCGTTTCACACTTCTGTCCTCGGATCATAAAAAAGGTAAGTGTTCTTTCAGCAAAACTTAAACAATTTACGTACATCCTATGTGAAGTTTTTTTCGTTTTGCTGAAAGAACACTTACCTATTTATGATCCGTGGACAGAAGTGAAAACGGTGTTTGTGTTTAAAAATACCTAACTTGAAAAGTACATGTGTGATTTGAATGATTCTTGTACTAAAAGAAAGCTTGTTAATTAGGCTTTTATATCCTAGATTTTGAAAGTGCTGCATGGAGAACTTCATTAAAAAAGGTCCTGACATTTGGGATTCCTTTTTTTGACTGTATACGTGCTCTTTTGAAATTTTGAGTTACTTTTCCAAACGAAATTTAAAGGAGTATAATGTCCTGTAACAAATACATTTGCTTGTTTGTTTTTGCAGGCCTTTATAAAGTTTTAAAAATCGGTTTTAAATGGCGCGCTCCAGTTCAGAAATTGCGCACACTTTTCACAAGTCGTTTTAAGAGCGGGACGCTCTTAAAAGAGCGTCCCGCTCTTAATTCAAAAGTTGAAATGAATTAATTGATTACTTGTCATGTGCCAATTTTTTTCGTGCGATGTCTCATTGGAAAGCCCATAACTAATGTAATGCAAGAAAATTATCAATTCAAATTGAAAATCTATTATTCAAGGTGACGCACCAAAAAAGCACGTATACACCAACTTTAACAAATGGCTTTTAAATTTAAAAAAGGTAAACTGTCGTCGATGTGCCGCTAGAGGGTGCCCTTGTAGGGTATGACGTCATCAGGCTATTTATTGTGTTTGGCATTCCTCACTTCCATAATTTACTTGTCTGTAGCAAAATGCTTCCTTTTTCAAGTTATATTCAATTTTCATTGCACTTTCGGTAACACCGGAAGTAAAGGTCAAACTGCTTTGTGCTCGGAGTCAAAAATATTGTGTGAGGCAATGTCTTACCTATCACAAAATATGAGAACGGTACTCCATTTGAAAAAGTATAGTTTAAGGAAATGAGTCAAAGTTGGACCTTAAATCGCTTGCAATTCAATGGTTTGACTGGAATCCTGCTAAGTACTGCACAATTATAACGTGTTTTTAGATGGGGTTACGATCGAGTATAAGCCTTATGTGGCCTCTCTTATTGGTAAGATAAATATGTACTCCCTTCAGGTCTTCCTTGAATTTCTTACTGGTTTGTGAGAAATAGTAGACAAGTTTATCCATATCAAGATATGTTGTGTTGGCTTCGCGCTTCAGTGAACTATACAATAAATGAAAAGGTTAATGGTATTTAATTAATTTCTTCACTTCGCGTGTCGATGCTCAATTGACATTTGGGGAACAAAGCAGGCAGATAATGGTTGCGCATCCTTTTGTGTATTTCCCCGGTGATACTGCATTATAAATGATAGCTGTTCACTTATTATGGTCCAATTTACAATAAAAAAATATAAATATATACCACCAGAAAGATCTCGCCAATGTAGAGTTTCAAGATACTAGGCCTAATGAAATAAAGGCTGATGTCACCCGTTTTTTTAAATAACAATTTGCAATGGCAATGATGTTCAGTTTTTCTTTTTCGATTCATTTGAAAACCCTTGATAGATGTGTTACTGCGATACGAGAGGTTTGATAACTTAATTCTTTAATACAGCTCCCTTTTTTGAAAGTATGACACTCACGAAATTAATAGTTGCGGTTTTTTCGCGCATACGCGCGTATGCCGACACCAAATACACCGCTGAGAACAATATGTGGACACCAATAACCGCCGAGGGGTAGCTGGACGTTATACATGACGTTTGCTATTTCAATACATCTCATTCCTAATTTTGGTTTTCCATTGTATTGACTTCTTAACGTTCACAGGCCGTGAGTTCAAGCGTCATTGGTAAACTATTGGTAGAAATCTTCCTACACCATTGGCACCATTAGTTGGTACTTATGGGGTACCGGGAATAACTTTAGGCAACAATAGGGACAATGGTACCCAGCAAGTCTGTCTTTAGAAATTGAAGTACCCCGTAGCCCTAACGATATGTATTTTGAGATTCGAAGGGGACATAGGAGAACAAAAGAAGGGAAGTAGGGTCGAACAATAGTGGTACCACATAAACCCCAAATGCTAAGTGTCGGTGGTCGAGAATGTTAGGTTGATCGTATATATCTCCGAGTACACAAACCAACATGCAGCTCTCTTCAGTAGCTACGTAGCCCGTAGACCACGGAACAGGCTGACGTCATAGCCAGCCAATCAAGAACGAGCCTGAACTTGGAGAGCAGGTCACTACGTTTTCTGATGGTTCAAGTTTCCAGCATGGGCGGAGCTAATGCTGGAAGCGGTAAATATGACAGCCAACCAGAATCCCCCGCTAATTGCAGTTTCATAACGTAAAACGACCATTACCATTTATAATTCAGGATCAGCGGGAGATGTGCACAAAAGAACACATCCATTAACTGCTAACCATCTGTCTCGTCTTCTCTTACAAAACCCTTAATTGATTTTAAATGGAGAGAAATTAATCGTGCACTCCATCTAGGGCAAGGTAAAGAATGACTAAAACTACTTTCCCTCGCGTTTGTACCTGTCACCCCAAAGTGCACGTAAACCTCTGTGGTATTTTCTGGTACCGACCGATATTTAAAAAAACAAAAATAAAATCCACTTTTAATGATTTGATTCAAGGTCCATGGGCTTTCTTCAGGAGTCGGCCATATTGAATTTAAAGTGAGGTAAAATCTTCATTTTTGGAACTTACGAAGAGAAATAAAAGCAATGACATAAAGTTAATTACACATTACACCAGTTTGCTCTATTTAACAATTTTAAATTTGTGATTAAACGTACCTTTATGTTTTAAGCCACAAAAAATCATGAAAGTGAGGCCAGAATGTATAAAAAGTCTGGCACCATCCCATTCAACAGTTCACAATTTATAAAATACGTTCAGGGAGCCCGACCAAAATGGCCTTCTCTTCAATAAGGTCCATGGCAACCTCGTTCCCATGGGTACGAGATCTTGCTGCGCCATGTTGTTTCCCATCATGCCTTGCGCGATCTCAACCCCTGGAATTGTGTAATTTTAATGTGTCAAAATTTGGCACATTATAATTAGGCTGCAGTGAGTTTATCCGTTTGACGTGCCGACGCCATCTTTAAAATGTTTAAAGCATTATGGGCGCGCCCGGCGTGCAATCTTCAAAATGCGCGCGCAGTACGCTCTGAATAGCCAGTCAGCATCGTTTACGTGTACAGTACGGCCAGGGGTTAGTGAAGGAACGTGCACGCGCCCATGGAGTCGAGGCTGGGTCCATGGTATAGGAAGAGTGGTGAGAAGAGTGAATGTACGTAGCCTTCGTAATAAAGTATTGTACCTTTACCAACACTGTAAACAAAACCCGTAAAAACACTGTCCATTTCCCGTATTGTTTTCGGTTTAGTACCGTTATTGCTCGAACCGTCACAAGAAAGAACGTGCTACGTGCATTTCCAGTAAAACTTGGTGCCCTGAGGCAGGCTGGGATTCACAATGGTTTGTATTCGTAACTTTTCAAAACCCCTCCCCTTTCAAACCCTCACAACCGCCTAGTTTTTAAAGCTGTGATTCGTGTGCACTCACGCAACGTTCGCTACGTGCTGATCATTGGGACGTCAAAGCTTTGGTATTGCGAAATTTGAAGAGTCAAGCAGCTAATCCTGCGGTGTTGACCAGCAATAGGTTGACCCCTTTCTGTGGGATCGGTAAAAAGTTGTAAATGAAAATTACAACTTAAAGATAATTTCACCTTAAGTGATTTGAAAACCACTATGGGTGTAAAAGACAAGCTGCAAGACGTATGCATACCCCACTCCCAGCTGCTGCAACTGGAACCTACCCCCCTCCCTACCCCTACACTCAGCTCTGACGCCACCCACTTTGTATTCCATTACTTTACGGCAAATTGCCGTTAAATTTACGGGAAATTCGCGTTAAAATTACGGTCACCGTCATTTTTGGAAACCCGTAACTGACCGTAATTTTACGGTCTTTTGTTGGCAACCCGTTTGACAGTGCTTTTACCGTAAAATTACGGGCAATTTTTTTACAGTGAATAGTTTACCAATGAATGCTTGAACTCATGGCTTGTGAACGTCAAGAAGTCTACACTTTGGAAAACCAAAATTAGGAATGAGATGTATTGAGATAGCGAATATCATGTATAACGTCGAGCTACCCCCCGGCGGTTATTGGTGTCCACATATGGATCTCAGCGGTGTATTGGGTGTCAGCATACGCGCGTATGCGCGAAAAACACGCAATTATTAATTTTGTGAGTGTCATACTTTAAAACAAGTGAGCTGTATTTAAGAATTAAGGTATCAAAATCTCTCGTATCGCAAGTAACACAACTATCAAAGGTTTTCAAATGAATTGAAAAAATAACTAAACATCATTGCCATTGCAAATTGCAATCTACATAAGTGGGTGACATTAGCCTATATTTCATTAGGCCTAGTAGCTTGAACCTCTACAATGGCGAGGTCTTTCTGGTCGTATATATATTTTGTCCATTATATTATGACCATAATAATGGACAGCTATCATTTATAATGCAGTATCTCCGGGAAAACACACAAAAGGAGGCACAACCATTATCTGCCTGCTTTGGTCCCCAAATGTCGATTGAGCATCGACACGCAAAGTGAAGAAATTAATCAACTACCATTAACTTTTTCAATTGTAAAGTTCACTGAAGCGCGAAGCTAACACAACCGATCCTGATATGGCTAAGTATGTCTACTATAATGCTCACAAACCAGTAGGAATTTCAAGAAAGGAAGTCCAGGAAGAACTGAACGGAGTACATATTTATCTTACCGATAAGAGAGGCCACATGAAGCTTATACTCGATGGTAACCCCATCTAAAACACGTTAAAATTGTACAGTTGCAGGATTCGAGTCCAACCAGTGAGTTTGGCGGTTTTGAGACATCATCTTACATTGACATTTTTTTGAGGTTGTGGATTGCTGAAAGTCGTTTTGTTTCTTTATATATTTTTTATTGCAGAGTAGACCCATAATGACAAACTTTCATTTTTTCATAATGTGCGTTTATATGTTTATAAAACTGAAATTCATCGAGTAATTTGTTGGTCGACGATCGCATAATTGAAATCAAACAAATTGTTTATACAACGGTTGTTTACTGCTGCCCAACGCGCCCCAGCAACATGTGACTCGGAGTCAAGCAGTAAAAACATCAACATTTTTTCAAAGATTCGCAGAGATTAATATTCCTTTCCATCGCTTTTTTTGGGATGGGTACATGGAACAAGGAAACGGTGACCTTCGAGTTGTTCTTCGAAATAAATTTTAGCCCGAACTGCCCGAAAAAGAAACCAGGAAAACACGGATACTGCAACTGGTCTAGCTGAAAACACCGGACAACACGTAACGGCTCTGATGAGTGGTAGGTCTACGATGTTTCCGTGAAAAAACCCCCAGCAATGTTATATCCAAGGACTCAAAGAATTATGTTGATAAATTTTTTTTTTAGATGAGCATCAAAAGTCCTACGGCAACTTTGTTCATGATTTACAGACAATTCCCAGGTTACTCTGGTGAATATTTAGTCCAAAGAGACGACAGATCTTGAGGCTGTTTTCGAATTATACGCATACAGCACGCATCACGCGTCACGGCAGTGGATGTGGTCGATGTTGTATACGGTTAGCAGCGTCGCGGGCCCCGGTCAAGTCCCTCGCGTTGCCCGGTGCTTTTCATGTATACGTTCGCTATAAAAAAGTAGTCATTTTCTCTTTTCTTTCTTTGTGAATTTGAACCAGTTTTTTTAACATCCTGATTCGATAATTATGAAGTGACTCGAATTTTGAAATTGTTAACTTGATTGTTTATCAAAAAAAGCTGTAAACAAGGCCAGGAGACCACACATTATGCGACACCCGGACTGGGAATTTGCCTTCTCTTGCCAAACCCTTAATTGATTGTAAATGGACAGGAATTAATTCTGCACTCCATCTAGGGCAAAGTAAAGAATGACTGAAACTACTTCCCTCGCGTTTGTTCATGTCACTCTAAAGTGCACGTAAACCTCTGTGGTATAGTCTGGTACCGACGGATATTTAAAAGACAAAAATAAAATGCACTTTTATTGATTGGATTCAAGGTCCATGGGCTTTCTTCAGGAGTCGGCTATATTGAATTTAAAGTGAGGTAAAATCTTAATTTTTGGAACTTACGAAGAGAAATAAAAGCAATGACATAAAGTTAATTACACATTACACCAGTTTGCTCTATTTAATAATTTTAAATTTGTGATTAAACGTACCTTTATGTTTTAAGCCACATAAAGTCATGAAAGTGAGGCCAGAATGTATAAAAAGTCTGGCACCATCCCATTCAACAGCTCACAATTTATAAAATACATTCAGGGAGCCCGACCAAAATGGCCTTCTCTTCAATAAGGTCCATGGTAACCTCGTTCCCATGGGTACGACATCTTGCTGCGCCATGTTTTTTTCCCATCATGCCTTGCGCGATCTCAACCCCTGGAATTGTGTAATTTTAATGTGTCAAAATATGGCACATTATAATTAGGCTGCAGTTTATCCGTTTGACGTGCCGACGCCATCTTTAAAATGTTTAAAGCATTATGGGCACGCCCGGCGTGCAATCTTCGAAATGCGCGCGCAGTACGCTCTGAATAGCCAGTCAGCATCGTTTACGTGTACATCACGGCCAGGGGTTAGTGAAGGAACGCGCACGCGCCCATGGAGTCGAGGCTGGGTCCATGGTATAGGAAGAGTGGTGCGAAGAGTGAATGTACGTAGCCTTCGTAATAAAGTCTTGTACCTTTACCAATAGTTTACCAATGCATGCTTGAACTCATGGCCTGTGAACGTCAAGAAGTCTACACTTTGGAAAACCAAAATTAGGAATGAGATGTATTGAAATAGCAAATGTCATGTATAACGTCGAGCTACCCCCCGGCGGTTGTTGGTGTCCACATATTGTTCTCAGCGGTGTATTGGGTGTCAGCATACGCGCGTATGCGCGAAAAACACGCAATTATTAATTTTGTGAGTGTCATACTTTAAAAAAAGTGAGCTGTTTTTAAGAATTAAGGTATCAAATCTTTCGTATCGCAGTAACACAAATATCAAGGGTTTTTAAATGAATTGAACAACAAAAACTGAACATCATTGCCATTGCAAATTGTTATCTAATTAAATGGGTGACATCAGCCTGTATTTCAGTAGGCCTAGTATCTTGAAACACTACATTGGCGAGGTCTTTCTGGTCGTATATATAATTTGTCCATTGTATTATGACCATAATAATCATTTATAATGCAGTATCTCCGGGAAAATACACAAAAGGAGGCACAACCATTATCTGCCTGCTTTGTTCCCCAAATGTCAATTAAGCATCGAAACGCGAAGCGAAGAAATTAATCATATACCATTAACCTTTTCAATTTTATAGTTCACTGAAGCGCGAAGCAACCGATCCTGATATGGCTAAGCTTGTCTATTATATTGCTCACAAACCAGTAGGAATTTCAAGAAAGGAAGTCCAGGAAGAACTGAACGGAGTACATATTTATCTTACCGATAAGAGAGGCCACATGAAGCTTATACTCGATGGTAACCCCATCTAAAACACGTTAAAATTGTGCAGTTGCAGGATTCCAGTCCAACCAGTGAGTTTGGCGGTTTTGAGACATCATCTTACATTGACATTTTTTTGAGGTTGTGGATTGCTGAAAGTCGTTTTGTTTCTTTAAATATTTTTTATTGCAGAGTAGACCCATAATGACAAACTTCCATTTATTTTTTATAATGTGCGCTTATTTGTTAATAAAACTGAAATTCATCGAGTAATTTGTTGGTCGACGATCGCATAATTGAAATCAAATCAAATTGTGACGTAATAAACAGGACTCGTTTATACAACGGCTGTTTACTGCTGCCGAACGCGCCCCAGCAACATGTGACTCAGAGTCAAGCTGTGAAAACATCAACATTTTTTCAAAGACTCTCAGAGATTAATATTCCTTTCCATCGCTTTTTTTGGGATGGGTACATGGAACAAGGAAACGGTGACCTTCGAGTTATTCTTCCGAATAAATTTTAGCCCGAACTGCCCGAAAAAGAAACCAGGAAAACACGGATACTGCAACTGGTCTAGCTGAAAACGCCGGACACGTAACGGCTCTGATGAGTGGTAGGTCTAGTCTACGACGTTTCCGTGAAAAACCCAGCAATGTTATATCCAAGGACTCAAAGCATTATGTTGATAATATTTTTTTTTTAGATGAGCATCAAAAGTCCTACGGCAACTTTGTTCATGATTTACAGACAATTCCCAGGTTACTCTGGTGAATATTCAGTCCAAAGAGACGACAGATCTTGAGGCTGTTTTCGAATTATACGCGTACAGCACGCATCACGCGTCACGGCAGTGGATGTGGTCGATGTTGTACGGTTAGCAGCGTCGCGGGCCCCGGTCAAGTCCCTCGCGTTGCCCTGTGCTTTTCATGTATACGTTCGCCATAAAAAAAGTAGTCCTTTTCTCTTTTCTTTCTTTGTGAATTTGAACCAGATTTTTTAACATCCTGATTCGATAATTATGAAGTGACTCGAATTTTGAAATTGTTAACTTGATTGTTTATCAAAAAAGCTGTAAACAAGGCCAAGGAGACCACTTATTATGCAACACCCGGACTGGAAATTTGGAAATTTATTGCAAAAAAAGTGGTGTGATTACAGCCGGCCACTGACACGATTATAGGCATATAGGTTTGCCTTGGCCTAGTGCGTTCGATACCCGATAGGGTGACGGTAAGGTCATGACCAAATTCTGCTAAATGGACTTCAAAAATCTGTCAGAATGATCAAAAATCGAAATACACTATAAACACTTAAAATCACTTCAGATGTTGTAGTATTGCCTTAATTAAGGTTCAAATTAATTATAAACAATTTATAGTCACATAAAGATGTTATGAAATTCCGTAATTTTTAGACAAAGCACTGTTAATTGCGTCACGATGAAGTTTGGTTCCCAGTGAACCACGGCACCTAAACCAGCCATGCTGTCCCATTATGCAAGGGTCTGTTTGAGAGGATTTCAGCATTTTTAAACAAATGTGCCATTTTATTTCAAATTTGCTATGTTTTTCTCTGTCAAATAACCATTTTTGCAGAATTCTGCCAGAAATCTGCCAAAAGTTAGCCGAAAATCGGCTAAAACGGTCACCATGCTACCCGAACACGTATCAACAACGAATTATTTTGATATTCCAAAACTTTACCGGCGTCAAAATCTGCGGTCCCCGCGGCCGGGCTGGCGGCGCAAGTGCACCTGTGAATGTCCAGCTTTACATGCTTAAACAAGTCAGGTGTGTTTACAAACACAAATGCCCCGCAACCGTGACTGTTTCCATGACATAACACCACTCTAACATCAACTTACATGTACCTTGGTCAAATGGAACGTTCATTGACAGCATTAGTGTCTTCTGTAGGTTTTATATGAATTAATCCCTAATCCCTATGATCTCAGAATAAATACAAGATTTCTATTGTTTTAGCCACTGTGACCTTGACCCTTGACCTTTTGACCCCCAATGCAATAGGCTTCTTAGGATTGCCAAGGACAATCCACAAACCAAATTTGAAATTCATATGTAAAGTATTTCTCAAGTTATCGCGCTGACAAAATTTCTATTGTTTCAGCCACTGTGACCTTGACCCTTGACCTTTTGGCCCCAAATGCAAAAGGCTTCTTAGAATTGCCAAGGACAATCCACAAACCAAATTTGAAGTTCATATGTAAAGTATTTCTCAAGTTATCGCGCTGACAAAATTTCTATTGTTTCAGCCACTGTGACCTTGACCCTTGACCTTTTGGCCCCAAATGCAAAAGGCTTCTTAGGATTACCAAGGACAATCCACAAACCAAATTTGAAGTTCATATGTAAAGTATTTCTCAAGTTATCGCGCTGACAAAATTTCTATTGTTTCAGCCACTGTGACCTTGACCCTTGACCTTTTGGCCCCAAATGCAAAAGGCTTCTTAGAATTGCCAAGGACAATCCACAAACCAAATTTGAAGTTCATATGTAAAGTATTTCTCAAGTTATCGCGCTGACAAAATTTCTATTGTTTCAGCCACTGTGACCTTGACCCTTGACCTTTCGGCCCCAAATGCAAAAGGCTTCTTAGGATTACCAAGGACAATCCACAAACCAAATTTGAAGTTCATATGTAAAGTATTTCTCAAGTTATCGCGCTGACAAGATTTGTCCGGACACACACACCCACACACCCACCCACCCACACACACCCACCCACCCACCCACCCACCCACCCACCCACCCACCCACCCACCCACCCACGGAAGGACAAGGCGGAAACAGTATGCCCCTTCGGCTTCGCCGCGGGGCATAAAAACATAGTGTGCGTGAACGATGTTGAGGTAATAGACGTTTCTTACTATGGTTGGCCGTTATGGCAAACACAAAAGAATGATCCACAATCTACAAATAAAATGTTGTTAAACTATCA